AGGGATGCCCACATAATCTTGGTGCCGTCATCCCATTGGACCTTTTTCTGGAGACTGATTAGAATCTCCATCTGGTCGATCCAGAGTCTTACGTCTTGATCGGCTCTTCCGGAGAAGGGAATGTTGGCCTTCTTGGGTGCATCGCCTACGGTGGCGCGAGGGGGGTGCGAGAGTTCTTGTTCTCGTTGGCGCCTCCTTTCCTGTCTTCGTTTCTTACGTTCCAGCCGCCTGCGGCGTTCGCCTTCCGAATCTGAGGAATCCGATGGGGATGATCCGGGTGCTTCCGGAGCATTACCTCCCTTATTGCCATTCCCATTTCCTCCACCTTGTGCTCCCTGACCCCCTCCCTTATTACCAGTCTCGTTACCTCCACCTTGTGCTCCTTGACCTCCTTGCCGCCCTTGTTGGCTTTGTTCTTCGAGGTCTTTACTGGATTCGGAGCCAGCTGGAGGGATGACTGGTTGTTGGGGAGGTGGTTGGGGAGGTGGGCCTGATCCGCCGCCACCTGTTTCTGGGGCCAGTGGTTTTTCCGCAGCCGCTTTACGGGCTGTTTCCTTCATCTGCTCCACCATTTCTTCCAAGGCCGTCTTTGTTCCAGAGAACCCATCTACCAAGGAGACCTGCTGCTGCATGGTCCTTTCCAATTGTGCTAGTGTGGCTGCTACGCCTTCTGGAACTTGGGCTGGACCATCTTTCGGCAGTCTTTGAATCCAGTCAGCCAGCATGGTTATGTGCTGGGCCTGCTCTTCCTGCCGCTGTTGATGGGCCCTAGTAGTGGTGACGATTTGCTCCAAGACTTGGCCGAGGTTCGTAGTGGTTGCGGCTGTCTCTGCCCGCACTTGCGCAAGGATATACCCTTCTCGGCGCTCCCGTTCTTCTTGGTCCTGGTTGAACTTCATCTGCAATTCGCGGATGAGTTTGGTCTGCTCTTCGTGCTGCCGGGTAAGCTGCGCCGCGTGCTGCTGAGTAATTTCCCTGATTGCGGGCAGGTCTTGGACGCTCATAGTGAGGTCTCCAAGTCCGCGACTCAGCTGCTGAACCACTGGGGCTCCTCTCCGTTCGATTTCCTGCCCGATGATTTCTCCAAAGGGGTGCTCGATCCGGCGTTCCTCTACGTCCATATCCGTATCCTCGTCTTCGTCCGTTTCCCTGGGGACCGAGGGCCTCGGAATAGAAGATCGTTCTCTGATTGGCGTTTTGTATGGGGAATAATCTCGAAAGTCCCCTTGCCTGCGGGAGCGGGGTTGGCCATAGGATGCGGCCGGCTGAATCGATCTGAAGAGGTCGCTGATCGGCATGTCCAGATCCCTCCTGTGGCGCTGTCTCGCCTGGGTCTCGACTATACCTCGATCTCTCACGGTGATCGAGCTCTCCATGTTGTAGTCTTCCTCCATTTGTTGCTGATGACCCCTTGACATCGCTAAGTTGCTCGATTCTGAGTTGTGGCTGTCTTCTACACCAGGGTTGAACGACGAACCAAGGGACGGAGTGAGCTAATCCGTGGGATTGCTGACTGAGGGTGACTTTAATAGGGAAGAGTTCGGGATAGTTGAGGATCTCCGGGTCGTGTTCTTCGAACGTGCAAGTAGTACCTGCTTCGGCAAAAAACCCGGCGTACTCAAGGTATCCGCAATAGAGGTGTTCGGCACTACCTCTGCGAACGACAAAAGAGGTGGTGCAAGTAAAGTTGTTGATAGCTGCTGTTGCTACTCGGGGATGCATACGGTATCAAAGAGTCCTTCTAATAGACTACTTTCTTATTCTTTTACTTGAGCGCACGGTGACTATCCGCCACAAACAAAATACTCTCAAGTATTGGTCTAAGCAAGTAGTTGTCTTATCGGGACGTTGATGATATGCGATCGGTAAAATAATAGCGTAGTGGATAAGGTACAATATAGTGTTTGGGGAAATGCCAATGCTAAGCGATAGTTCTGTAGCTTTTAAACTTGTAATATTGTAAACCGGGTTCCGCTCGCTGAGTGACTGATGATGCCACTTAAGACGAGGCGGAACCCTTCCCTATTTATACATATTGGAACCTATGCCAAGGCCCGCTTTCTAATACTAATGAGATAACGATAATAGAATAAAACAATCAACCCGAAGATAACCCCAATAGAAAAGCGCCCCCGCATAGTTCCGTTCCTCCATTCTAATTCTAACACGTAACCATAAACCCCGCAATTGCCAGTAACCGAGCTGTATCATGCTATTGTCCTAGAGCTACTTCCCTAAGTAGAATGGCCTGCAGCCATAAGCCCCGCTTCTATTCCGCTCCGGGTGAGACACCCAATAGTAAGCGTGCCCTCACAATAGCCTAATGCTAGTGTGGTTGCACCCGGTGCCCCCACACCCCTCGGTACCTTTCTATGCTGGTTCCCTCGTTACCCGACCGTACTCGCATCACAACCCATCACTCATATTATCCTTGTTCCTTAACTTAGGAGCAGTGTTCGTGTTTCCTATAACAGGAAAATAGCTAAGTGCATCCCGATCCCGAAATCCGGCAAAGCAAACTATCATGAAGCAAAAGCCTACCGGCCCATTTCCCTTCTACAATGCTTCAGCAAAATCCTGGAGAAGATAGTAGCTCAGAGACTCTGCACCGCCGGAGAAATCCTAGGCACACTCTCAGCGAATCAATTTGGAGGAAGACCAACCATCTCGGCAATCGACGCCCTCCTGAAAACCTTAACACCAATACAACAAAACCTACTACTGAAAAACAGTACCGGAATCGCTCGGCGAGACAGACCAGCGATCCTAACCAACGATATCCAAGGAGCATTTAACTGTGTCGACCACCTACTCCTCGCGGAAATCATGCACCAACAAAAATTCCCTACCTACCTAACAGAATGGTGCAAGGAATTCAACACCGGCAGAAAACTACAATTCCAATTTAACCATGAGCTAGAGGAACCACAGCCCTATGATTCTGGAGTGCCGCAAGGTAGCCCCATGTCCCCGGTATTATTCATGATCTATGCCGGAGTAATCCTGGACCCAACAAGCAGCCCGAAAGAGATGGACACTACATACATCGATGACGATGCGCTGGTGCAAATATCCAAAACACCAGGCTTTACAATCAAGAGAATGGAGGAACGAATGAGAGAGAGACTAATAAAAGCTGAGCCACTCCAAATTAAATACGACCCGGATAAATCCGACCTGATTTTCTTCCGGCCCACCAAATCATCCATACAACAACCATGACTCCCAGTCAAAGTTAACAACACCAATATATACCCCAAGGAGAGGTTGAAATACGTAGGAGTCTGGATAGATCCGACCCTCTCCTTCCGGCCCCACATTGAAGCAGCTATCGCAAAGGGCCTCAAAGCCCTCCACCAGATTCGAAACACCGCCCGCCTGCTAGGCATAACAGTCAAAACAATTCACCACCTTATAACACAAGGCTTCCTTCCAAGTCTGTTATACGGGTCTGAGGCTTGGTGGACTGGCGCAGACCACATTATAAGATCCCTCGAACCACTATACAATGAAGCGGCCCGGGTCATCACTGGCCTACCACGATGGACCAAGAGAGCTAAACTCCTTCGAGAAGCAGGCCTACCCCCCCTAGAACACCTCCTGACATATCGCTCAAGAAAGTACGGCACCAGAATACTCTGCACCAATGCAACCCACCCCAACAATGAATCCCTGATCGAGCTCCTCCCATACAGAGAAGCAAATATCAAAGGAACAGGCTTACACCGAATCGCCTCCCTACTACTCCCATATCAAACTGCCGGAAATGCGAGAGATAAGTGGAATCAAAACAAACTACTACGCGACCACCTGCTGGAAGAATGGAATACACAATCAATACCGAACTACCACCATCGGGGGGAATTCCGCCCCCCTTCCAAGATAGCGAAACTTACCCTTACGGAAGCAAAAAAAGTATTTCGAATCCGGTGCCAAACCACCCGAATCGACAAACACGCAGTACATACAGACCCTGAACCATGCCAGTGTGGTATGGAAAACTCAGCGAAATATACACTTATGGAATGCCCAGCGTGGGCTCGAATCCGCGCCCCTCTGATAGAGAAAATCCCCGGAGCGATGACCTGGGAAAACTGGATGTTTACAAACCTAAGAACGGGCCTTATCCTACAATTTGCAAAAAAATCTCAACTCTCGAAATGGTACGAGTCGGCGGAGGCGGAGGCGGACCTGGAAGAGGGGATGGAAGAAAATGATTAGGGACGGGATTAGGAAGGGCAGTTTCCTCTTACCTTTTAAATTCTGTTTTTATCTTTGTTCGGATGGATCCAGCGCTCGAGTCCGCTGAGATATGTTATTTCTCCTTGTCGTTGGGTTTTTCTGGTTGAGTGTCGTTCTGGAATTTCCTTGTTTTTGTTCGTGTTTGTTTGTTTGTGTTCGCTTTGTTCTTGCTTGTTCGAGTTTGTTGTTTTTCTTTTCTTTTCCTTTCTTTCGGTTCGGTTTGTGTTTTAGGCGGTTGGTTCGGCGTGCGATAAGTCTTGTACTTCAAAGCAATATAAGTTTCTTCTTCTTCTTCTGTATTCTACTCCACGAATATTACTTTTGATCTACGCTACGTCATAGGGTTATCTTGGATCTTCGATCAGGATTGAACCACCCCATAGTCTATAGTCCCGAATCCCTTGATACTACGTCCTCACCTCGGTTGTATTCCTTGGCACTATAGTCCCTCGTCCATAGACCCACGTTATAGAGGCGGGGGTAGAGGAGAGGTGAGATCACCTGGATGGGCACTCTCTGGAGGACGCGGGGTGGGGCCCGTTGCAGTTAACGCATTTCGGGTTGTAGGAGGGGCATGGGTTGCAGTCGGTGACCGGTTTGAGGTGACCTTCTTTGGGGCATGAGGGGTTTGGGCATCTGTGGTCTTTGCATAGGTGGTTTCCGCAGCAGATGGAGCATGTGGGGGAGAAAACCTGGCACCCTTCGGTGGCGTGCCCTAGGCGTGCGCATTTGCAGCATGGTGTGTTGGGGGAGGCAGGTCAGAGCTTGTTGCAGCGACGAGATCGGCCGAAGAGGTGGATCGTCGCTACAATCTTGTCAATGTCTTCAGCGGGGACAGAAATAACGATGGAGGTGGTGTTTTTTCCCTCTCTGTTTTCAGGTTTGGAGAGGAAGTTGACGTGGGATATAGAGGCACCTGTGGCGAGGGCAACAGCTTCGGTGATTTCTGGCATGAAGAGGTCTGGATGTTCTGGGAGGGCGAAGAGGGGGACATTGTGAACGGCGTAGTCGGTGTTGGTGGGGGCCAGCTGGAATTCGTTGAAGGGGTTCTCAGACGCGTGGCAAGCTAGGTTGAGGACAGCGAGGAGGCCTGGGAAATATGCGGTGAGGTCTTTGGCAGGAGTGGAGGGTGATACTATGCAGGTGACGGTACCATTGTGATTGACTTGGACCTGGAGGGAAGTGTGAGGGTGGGTGAGGCCTGCGTTGGCTAGGACTCTTCCAAGTTCAGAGGGAAGTTTGGCTATGAGCTGAAGGTGGTTGGTGAATGGTGCGGGGTTCGATCTGGTGGCGAAGAAGCGGCATTGGGCGGTGGGGAGGTTGCCAGAAGGGGAGGGGGGGGGGGGTGGCTTTTGTGTTGGCCTTTTTCTTGTTGGGGGGGGGAGGAGCGGGTGGGGGCCCTGACGGACCGGCTACTGCCCTGCGGGCTTTCTCTGCGTAGGAGAGGATACGTCTGTTTCCGTGGGCATCAATAATCTCCTCTGGGGCGTTGATGTCGATGTCCTAGTGTATGATTGGGGGGGTTGGTTGCTGGGGGAGTTGCCTTGTTGAGGCAGTTGTTGAGGTGGTTCATGTCTGTGGAATGCTTTGCCGACAAGGAGCTGACTTCCGAGGTGAGTTTATCGATTTGGGTCGTGAGGCCCAAGAGGAGGCTGATGATGGCTTTAGCCGGATTACTGGCTGTTTCCTGGGAGGTGAAGGTGGAAACGATGTGTTGGAGGAGATCATCGGCAGGTGGGGACGCTTCTTCAATGCCGAATTTGTTGAGAATTTGGCGTTTGTCGATTTGGAGGAGCTGGGGGATGGCAAAGGCCGAGCCTGCATCGGTGTAGGAGGAGAAGGGGAGGCCAAAGAGGAGGGGGTTACCGTTGCCACTCATATTTGAGGGGGGGTGGGAATTTGCAGGGGGGGTGGGAGGTATTTTGGGTTTTGAATCCAAATTGCTAGAGACTTTTCTGCCTGTGTAACGTGGTTGCAACGCAAAACTTGGTGGTGAATTTCAAAAACTGGGTACAATAGAGGGAAGAAAGGTGTCTGCTTCGTTGAGCTGCATTGCGCTGAAGTCTCTATATCAACAGATTGTTCAATCAGGAAAGGATCGAACTCTTCAGTAGTGGCAATCACCTCCAATAAAAACTTTAGGCTCTGATATATTAATGCTAGTCTCTTCTTACTGTGGGAGTTGATATCAAATGTGTGCAATACGAGGGCCCCGGCAAATGACCAGAGACCACGAGACGGTTCACTGGAAGTATTTTACGCCTATGGGAGACAGGCGATGCATGGGGCTGGATAAGAGTATGTATGCTCCAGAAATGGTTTGCATGGTTGGTTGAGCAGTAGTTATATGTGCGCTGGCGGCTGACTGATATTATTGTCGGAGATGTCGGAGAACACCTTCAGGAGATATCACTGGTTTATCAATCACTTGGATGAAGTGTCTCTTCCCTAGCTATGCGCTACCCAACACCCCCTCACCCGAACATTGAGTATGATTGGTACAGAACTAAGACCTCTCGTTTTTTTTGATATTTCAGAGTAGGTATTGAAAATGTGATATCTATAAAATGCGCAGCATAAATAAGAGCTAGAGCTCGAGTCCTGGCTGCTGCTATAGAATTGATGCTCCTACCCCCGAACCTCCAATCCCAACATCACAGCTCTCATCATCAGTATTATTTCTTCGTGCCCGGGTCGCCTCATATCTTTGATTTCCTACAGGATTCCCAGACCTTCATGAATCCAGGGTTAGGCGCATTGCCTTGCCCCTCCTCAGTTGAAACTATCAGCCAATCATACATCGTACGAGCGACAGCCTCATAATCGTTGTGTTAGCTGTCAGACGGAACTAGCTCAATCCTCAAGTAAACTTCGAATCGATCACAGTTGACTCTAGTAAAATCGGGGGTCCTAATTTTGCAAGACGTATCAATCATTACAATTGTCTTAAAAACCACCTACCCTCGAACCGTCTTGGGGCCCTTAGTACAAAATATAACCTGTTCTCCCGTGGTTCGCGACTATCTATTGGAAAATAAGAGCTCGCCCAAGGTAGTGTCTTATGATAGTTGCATCGGTTAATAATGGAAAGATGAAACTAATCAGTCTTGAAGGACACTTTGATCCATATCTTACTCGGAGCCAACGTAACGTATAACAGCCCTCATTAAGAGAGGTATCAATCATTGTCAATCCTCTTAACGTGCGCCAATCATCTTAACGTACGCTCCTCAAATTGCCTCAGGTCCCGAATCATAACGTATAGCAACGTGTCTCATAACTAGCAACTCTAAGCTGATAAGAGTTTGTTCGAGGTAAAGCCTTGTAATCGTTGAACTAAATATCAATAAGATAGAACTAATCAATTACTCAAATAGTCGTCATTTGGAATCTTGCCACTTATTCACAGAAGCGTCAGAAACCTGAATGGAGCGAGTAGAATCACAGGTGGCATCAGAGGGGAAGGACATAGAGCGTCCGAATGATAAGTTTGTGAAAGCGGCGGAGAGAGGGGACTATCCGGAAGTACAAAGATTGCTGGGTCTAGGAGCATCTATCAATGCGCGATGCCTACCTACAGGAAAGTTCAATAGTGGAGCGGCTGAGGCTTCTGGTGGGGGGAGGGTGGGCTGGTTTGGAGAGCTGGAACTGCGCGTGTTAGTCGTTAATGCAAACAAGGTTTCATATTCAGATGATTGGGTGCCCAGAGAAAGGCTTACCAGAACTGCATTACAAGCGGCGTCTGACGGTGGTCACCATACGCTGGTGAAGCTGCTGGTAGATGCGGGGGCTGAGGTTAACGCTCCACCGTCGAACCATTGTGGGAGAACAGCGCTGCAGGCGGCAGCAGAAGGCGGGCATCAGGAGATAGTAAAGCTGCTGATGGAAGTGGGGGCGGAGGTTAACGCCGCACCGGCGGAGGGATACGGAAGAACAGCCCTACAGGCGGCAGTAGAAGGCGGGCATCAGGAGATAGTAAAGCTGCTGATGGATGTGGGGGCGGAGGTTAACGCCGCACCGGCGGAGAGTGGTGGGAGAACAGCGCTGCAGGCGGCAGCGGAAGGCGGGCACAACGAGATAGTAAAGCAGCTGATAGATGCGGGGGCCGAGGTTAACGCCGCACCGGCGGAGAGTGGTGGGAGAACAGCGCTACAGGCGGCAGCGGGAGGCGGGCATCAGGAGATAGTAAAGCTGCTGATGGAAGTGGGGGGGGAGGTTAACGCCGCACCGGCGGAGAGTGATGGGAGAACAGCGCTGCAGGCGGCAGCGGAAGGCGGGCACAACGAGATAGTAAAGCAGCTGATAGATGCGGGGGCCGAGGTTAACGCCGCACCGGCGGAGAGTGGTGGGAGAACAGCGCTGCAGGCGGCAGCGGAAGGCGGGCACAACGAGATAGTAAAGCAGCTGATAGATGCGGGGGCCGAGGTTAACGCCGCACCGGCGGAGAGTGGTGGGAGAACAGCGCTACAGGCGGCAGCGGGAGGCGGGCATCAGGAGATAGTAAAGCTGCTGATGGAAGTGGGGGGGGAGGTTAACGCCGCACCGGCGGAGAGTGATGGGAGAACAGCGCTGCAGGCGGCAGCGGAAGGCGGGCACAACGAGATAGTAAAGCAGCTGATAGATGCGGGGGCCGAGGTTAACGCCGCACCGGCGGAGAGTGGTGGGAGAACAGCGCTGCAGGCGGCAGCGGAAGGCGGGCATCAGGAGATAGTAAAGCAGCTGATAGATGCGGGGGCCGAGATTAACGCTCCACCGGCGAAGTTAGATGGAGGAACAGCGCTGCAGGCGGCAGCGGGAGGCGGGCACAACGAGATAGTAAAGCAGCTGATAGATGCGGGGGCCGAGGTTAACGCCGCACCGGCGGAGAGTGGTGGGAGAACAGCGCTACAGGCGGCAGCGGGAGGCGGGCATCGGGAGATAGTAAAACTGCTGATGGATGCGGGGGCCGAGATTAACGCTCCACCGGCGAAGGATTATGGAATAACAGCGCTACAGGCGGCAGCGGGAGGCGGGGATCGGGAGATAGTAAAGCAGCTGATAGATGCGGGAGTCGAGATTAACGCCGCACCGGCAGAGATTGGGAGAACAGCGCTACAGGCGGCAGCGGGAGGCGGGCATCGGGAGATAGTAAAACTGCTGATGGATGCGGGGGCCGAGATTAACGCTCCACCGGCGAAGTATCATGGAAGAACAGCGCTGCAGGCGGCAGCGGAAGGCGGGCACAACGAGATAGTAAAACTGCTGATGGATGCGGGGGCCGAGGTTAACGCCGCGCCGGCGGAGAGTGGTGGGAGAACAGCGCTACAGGCGGCAGCGGGAGGCGGGCATCAGGAGATAGTAAAACTGCTGATGGATGCGGGGGCCGAGGTTAACGCCGCGCCGGCGAAGTATCATGGAAGAAGAGCGCTACAGGCGGCAGCGGGAGGCGGGCATCAGGAGATAGTAAAACTGCTGATGGATGCGGGGGCCGAGGTTAACGCCGCGCCGGCGAAGTATCATGGAAGAAGAGCGCTACAGGCGGCAGCGGGAGGCGGGCATCGGGAGATAGTAAAACTGCTGATAGATGCGGGGGCCGAGATTAACGCCGCACCGGCGGAGAATGAGAGAACACCGCTACAGGCGGCAGTAGAAGGCGTGCATCAGGAGATAGTAAAGCTGCTGATAGATGCGGGGGCCGAGGTTAACGCCGCACCGGCGGAGAATGAGAGAACACCGCTACAGGCGGCAGTAGAAGGCGGGCATCAGGAGATAGTAAAGCTGCTGATAGATGCGGGGGCCGAGGTTAATAGGGCGGTGGACGGTACTAGCTTACTCGTCGAACTAGCTTGCCTCGGAGTGCACATGGACATGATAGCACTCTTGCTCCACGCTCCCCAACTAGATTTAACAGTTAGAGATCAGCTTGGGTTCACGCCACTTCACCAAGCGTTGCGGGAATACGACAGAAACAAGCATGACGCTTTGTGGGTCAGTAGAATGCAAAAATTAGTTTTTAGAGTTCTGGAGGCGGACCTTAGCAGAACCGGTATCAACATTAAGGATCACTCGGGAAAAACATCTTTGGAGACTGCCATTGAAATTCAATCTCTAGCTATAGTTAAACAATTACTTTTAAGAGGCGCGGATACCGGGGTTCTGAGGACAGAGGACTTGCGCAACTTACTGGATTCTGCGAACGATTTAGCTGGGGAGGCTGCATCTAAGATCATCGGTCTGCGTAGTGGGCGAGGGGAAGAGACCCATATCACCACCGGGAACGGGAAGCTTGAATGGCCAAATAAAAATAACTGGGATAAGGGAGATTATGAGTTACAATTAGCTGATCCACAGATCAACATGTAAGTGCTCGGCGAATCATGGCAGGGGCGGCGATGCCGTTATAATAGCTATAGCCCCAGCAATGTCTTGTTCATCGGTCGCCGCTAATAATGAATCCTGCCGTTTTAGATCTCTTGGACGGCCTGACGACAGCACGTACGCGTCGTTCGTGAAACCGGTACAGGGGTTTTATTCGAACCTAGAGACACCAAAAAACCCGAACCGATCAACAGAAAACCATATCCTCTTTAAATGGTGGCTTGGTGAACTCGGTACTTACTCGGAATTCTATTCCGGGGTCCCCAAGAGAGCTAGTATAACAGGCTTGGCTGTTTCAGAGAAAGATAAAGTCGAAGGTGAGGCCTATATATACATGTTCCCGCTTTATGAAATACCTTAAAATTTTCTCACAGACTCTAGGACCTGCTAAAGTAGGAGTAATTGGCTATATGTGCTTTTGTGTCTTCCTTCCAAATAGTGGAGTAAAAGCTGCCAAGAATGCCCCAAACGGAGGAGGCGGAGGGGAAGAAGAAGAAGAAGAAGAAGAAGAAGAAGAAGAAGAAGAAGAAGAAGAAGAAGAAGAAGAAGAAGAAGAAGGATTACAGTCATTCAAGTTTAAGAATCAAAAAGTCGAAATTTCCTGGATAATGGCGCATCCCAGCGAAACTGAATGTAAGCCCAGGTATGGGCATCATCCTAAAGAGTTATTCCTGCGTTCCTTGTTATACCTGGGAACGGTGAGATTGGAGTATCTTTCAATACCTTCTCACGGGGTGGAGTTTGCTACGTTGTTTCTTGATGACATTCATAGGAGATGGCTCGAACTTCTCGAAAGTGCCAAGGTACACCTTGCAGAATTTGTAAGTCGGATTTCAAGAAGTTTATCATGTTCAAGACTCCTACCATATAAGGGTTTATACTGAAGTTTCGATGACCCTACAATAGCGCGATAAGCAGTTGGTGGAAGGGGGGAGGAATCCTACTGTCATCCAATGTCTCCTGGAAGACAGTCAGCAGTGGAACAAGCTTCGCTCAAGCTTGAAACTGCATGTATTGAAAGCGCAGGAACTTTGGCGCACGTTCAAAGAGCATGAGGCTCTATTCATGGAATTGGCGGAATCGGAACACGATAGTACTAGGATCAGCAATTTTTTGAACGGAAAAAAGGAATCAAATATAGGAGAACTCGAAGCGATGGTGAAACTTTCAAGAAAGGTTAAACTTATAGGAGGATGTATGGAGGAAATAGCCGAATTGAAAGCAGAAACAAAGGAGATGATCGAGCTTGTGAGTAACTCTTCTCTTTGGAGTCTAATTTGTGAAAGCTTTATTCATGAGATAATTGTTCTGTAGGAGTTCAATTTGGTCTCTATATACGAGGCTCGGAAATCCATTGAAATGTCGGAGATCTCAAACAAAATGGCTGAGAAATCTATAGAAATGGCAGAGAAATCAAATAAAATGTCGGAGATCTCAAACAAAATGGCTGAGAAATCTATAGAAATGGCAGAGAAATCAAATAAAATGTCGGAGCTCTCAATCGAAATGTCAAAACACTCTAACAGCCTGAGCCTAAGTATGAAAAGACTTAGTTGGATTACAGTAAGCTCTACCCTAATCCATTAAAGAATAAACTGACATTTTTTAGTTTATATTCCTTCCTTTGACCTTTGTTTCTGTAAGTAATTTCACCGATTTCCCGGAAGCCCTATGTATGGTATCCTTCTGACAGTAGTAGGGGCTGTTCGGAATGAACCTAGATATTTTAGCAAATAACCCAAGCTGGACTTGGTATTTTGTTATTGCCGGTCTAGTTTTGGCTCTGATCTTCGTGGTCTGGATTATATTCAAATATGTTCCGGTTGGTTAAGACTCTTTCACGGCATGGTTGTACGAGCGGGCTACTGATATTTGGGTTGTAGATTTCCGACTGGATTGAGGAGAACATTGGAGAACCATTGGAATTATTGCTCGCCGCTGGCAAGGCAGAGTCTACCCCGGAGAATACGGAACCTATAAATCCCTCGGGGGTTAGTTCCTCGGACGAAATTACTCCTAACAGATCGTTCTCAAGGAGAAGGTTCACGCCGATGCGCGAAAAGAAGAGACCACATGACACAGAGCAAGGCACGATGCCAGCTCCTCCCAATGTAGAGGCGAACAGGTTAGTCAAAGAATCCTATCACATATCAATCCTGAGATGCTAATTTGAGAGAAGGTAGCAAACTTAGATTCGGACTCGAATTTGGTTTAACAAATGGTTTTGCGATAAAGAATAGAGGAGTGGCGGGATGGGGTAGTGATGAAAGGGTTTAAGGGCATCGTGCTTCTTTTTTTATCTGTATTGTTTTGTTTGGGATACCTAGTGGGCCGGGTTGATACTATCATTTCGTATGTTATTCGCGGTTTTGGAAATTTAAGAGCTATGTTTATGTGGGTCAAAATGAAATTAAAGTTATCAAACAAAGAAGGCTCGAAAGATTTAAAAAAAGGTGTGCATGTGTGATGCCATATTCACCTATAAGTAGAGCCTGATGATCTATGTGATTTTTCAAGTACCGCTCTTCACTATATCGATGTCAACCAACCCTCCAATGACCAACAGCCAGAAAAACCGCGTCGTCTCTGAACGCAAACTCCAAGCTTTACCCAGTCCTATCCTGACCCACCGACGCAACCGAGGCAAAATAGTCAACGAAATGAACAGCCCACCAATTAACTTCTATTTACCCATGGTACTACCACGTAGCCCTATCCATGGCAGCTTCAGAGGGCATACCTCACGGCTAAGAGGATCCCGACTCGCCGTGATTGCGGAGGAACAGTAGCACCGGCCGTTGTTGTTTCGCGGGTGAGATAGATGGCGTCCAGGCAGTACTGCCCTTTGGAGATAGATCGGTTCTTGTTATTGCTCTTGCCTATTGTAACGGAGGGGTGTGTCATGCGGTATCACTCGGGCGCTGGGACCGATCGATGTAATGCGCAATGAAAATAATAGAGTGGATAAAGTGTTGTATTAGACGTGGATGTAGGATTAAATTGAAACTTGTGAAGGGAAATCTGGCTTTGTTCTGTTGTGAAACAAATTGACCGGACTTGTGGGTGTGAGAAGTAAAAGTATCCTATGCATTGCATTGTACTTTCGAAATCCATATAGAAAAGAAAATGTGGCGTAGATCGTGGGTACATATTATCGTGGGTGCTCTTGGTGGAATAATATGGGGGAAGTTAGATTCATATTTGATCGGCGTTGGAGCAGAGGTGCGGTCTAAGGGAGAGGTATGGCCGCCCCATGTGCGGTCCCAGATAACGCTAACCACATAGAGCTAGGCCAACCGTAGGCGAGATTAGATTAGTGGAAGATAAGATAACGCAGAGCCGCAGAGCCGCAGATTTCCGTTCATAAGAATTAACTCAAGGTTAGGGTTTTATTCTATCACAAGATTTTTTCTCACGAGCACCTCAACGCCCCACCTACTCACGAAAGTCCTCGAAATGCTGTTCTGTCAGCTATGCCGTCACAGCTACATAAAATCGCTTCTCTCAGTCCACGCACCCTTGCGCCGGTCGTACGCAATCGCTGCATACTCCCGTCCGTCATCAGATGCGTTCCGAGCGTCCCCACCTACGCAGCGCCCACCGCCCCGGGCTAAAGACCTCGGGGCGTCAAGCTTCAGCAAGAAAAGTCGCCCAATGCAGCAACGAATAAGCATGAAAGATCCACTAAAGGTTTCGGATTTGGTGCGCCGGCGCTTGGAGACTCAGGATGAGAATTCTGCTGTATCTCTGGCCAGAGAAGCAAGCAGGACTATGAATACAGTAGTTTCGTGGAATGTGATAATCCAGTATTACTTGCGGAATGGGAGGATTAAGCGCGCATTCCAAGCCTACAACGAGGTTCATATCTCCCCCCCGGCATCGTCTAATGACATACTGCTGAATAGAAGAAACAACTAGATGAAAAAGCGCAAAATCTTACCAGACTCCCACACCTTCACCTTAATCCTCAACGGTCTCTCCGAGAACACCCAATTCGGCCAAACCCTCTCCCGCGCCCTTCAAGTCTACAACTCTCTCTCAAACCCCAAATCACCTATTAAACCCAATGTTTTCCACACCAACGCCATTCTCCGCGTATGTTCACGCGCCGAGGACCTTGATTCTATGTGGGCCATTGTCGGTGGCCTTCCCGCGAAGGGTCCAAATGCTCCAAATACGCAGACCTACACGATCTTGCTGAACGGAATACAGGCGACTAAAGCGGCTGCGACGGACGTTGAGGATGGCCGTAGGGTGTGGGCGGGGGTGCTGTCAAAATGGATCAAGGGCCAGTTATGGATTGACGAAGCGCTGGCGTGCGCTATGGGACGAGTACTGCTTAGAAGTGAGCGGGAAGCGGACTGGAAGGAGGTTTTTACCCTGTGTGAGCAAGTATATGGAATTGAGTCGCTGGTTCCAAAAGATCCTATAAAACCGCACACGAAGGACACCATCTTTTCTGGGCAAACGAACCAGAAGTTCCCATTGGTCCCCGTTGGGAAGGGTAGTCCACCGATAGAGCTAAAGGTCCCGGCACCATTCGATCCCAACACCGAGACTACCTTCTCCCCCATCGCCAAACCATACCCCACTTCCACACGCCCCCTGCCTAGTAACCAGACACTATCGCTCATCCTTGAGGCGTGCACGAACCTCGGCGACCCAATCACTGCATACAAGTACTGGTCAATCCTCACCGCCGCCCCTTACAACGTCAAACCTGACCTGGTCAACTACCATGACTATCTCCGTATCCTCCGCCGCGAACGTCTTGGGCCCGAGGCTCTCAAGCTTGTAAAATCGATGGACATCACCCCCACCGCAAAAACGTTCTACATCGCACTCTCATCCTGTAAGCGTCATGGCCGCAGTGCTGCCTTCAGCTCCGCACAGGCACTCCTCGATCTCATGATCAAGAAGTGGCAGATCCCTGTCGATGTGAAAGTTTGGAATATGTTTCTGCAAGTTTCGGTTAAGACGGGAGACCCCGCAAATGTGAAACAGGCACTGCGTAGGGTTGATGATGAGGTTGACCTGGAGCTTGAGCTGGTGAGGAGACGGAAGTCGCCGATGCTTGTGGAGAGATGTCTGGAGATGGCCAGGACTTTGATCAGTGTTATGGATGTGCTGATGAACAGCGATGGGAAGCTGGCAAAGGAGACAACGTGGGGTCATGGGGAGCGGGCGAGCTTTGAGAACAGGAGAAAAGAACTGAGCGCGTTGGTGACGAGGTTTGGAGCGGGAGCAAAGAGAAGAGCTTATAAAATTGAGATGGAGGGCGAGGACTATGCATAGTAGATACATGTGGGTTGTAAGAGTGTAATTTTAGGTTGAAAAGTGGCGTTTAGGTTTTTTTTTAAATCTTGAATAGAGAAAACGGACCCCTGGTGCGGGGGATTGTCAATAAATATGTATTTATACTTTAAGAACTCCTTGACTATGTAATTTTTCCTTTCTTTGATGTGAATCCAGATTGTGCACACTCCCCACAAACGACAGAAATAACTAGACTACATGCATATTGAATAATGGAGAATTGGAGGCGGAGTGAATTTAGACGGTGGTCTATGTCGCGATCGGTGCGAATAAAAGTCCTTTGGTCACAGTTCCTAAATCACACACATATGCTGTCGATATTGCTGCTAGCTGAATACTACAAGTCATAGTAAATACGGCCCTTAGCTCTTAGAGCATATTCTCATATGATTGGACGTCTCAAACCAACTAGTGATAGCTACTTATGTAGGATTAGCATATGCCAAGCTTGGACTGTATGTAGTTGGTTAGTTAGGCATAGTCATTCTATTATTGCTGACACCTTTTCAGGAATACCTACTATTCTAACAGTCCTGATACTACATGTAGCCAGGTACATACGCGACGTATGTAGTTTTCTGCTTTCTTGAGTAGATAATGCTTCACCACGAGAATCTCGATATTAAGTAGCAGACGCCAAGAAGCCATACCTAACCGATAACGTACTAGGCTAATATCCGCGGATCACGCGGTTTTCGTTATCCCTTATCTAATCCGTGTCTAGCTACAGGCTGCTTGAGCGCTCATATACCTCTGAAACCTCTTCTCTTCCCACCCACTCGCCAATAGCATACTTCAACATGCGCTTCACACTCAACAGCCTCTTATTTCTCGCGTCTCTTACCCTCGCACTCCCACTCGACGAGACCCCTACAACTATTGATCACATCCCAACTGTCAAAGAGGCCGCCGTACAAGCTCGCAAGCTCCTTAAATCCGAGTCTATAGCTACTCTCTCCACTGTCTTTCCAGAGGATGAGCCACATGGTCTCGCCGGGCAGCCTATCGGCCTAATGGACTACTACGCCGACTGCTCCACGACGGGGAACCCAACTCTCCTTGCTATGGGCATTGCCACCTCGTAATGACCCCCTGTTTATGTATATAGCTCTATGGTCTGGCTAGTATGAGCTAACTGGGGACAGCTTTAAAAACGCAAAAGATGGTGCACCAATTAGTTTGTCGATCCGCTCACATGCGAGTAGCTGGTCGCAGGCGAGCCAGCCGCGGTTGTCGCTCATCGGAAGACTGAGTGAGAAGGTCCCGAGAGGGAGCGAAGAGGCCGATAGGCTGAAAGCATGCTTCACGAGCGTCCACAAGGATGCTAGGATCTGGGCACCCGGAAATAAAATCCACGAGAGTGATTGGGTGACGTTCGAGGTCGAGACGGTGTACTGGATTGGAGGGTTTGGGTATGTATCATTCCGGAATTGTGTAAAGGGGGGATAGTGGGCTGATTGTGGGTCGTTTGATAGAAATGTGGCGTATATTGGATATATTCCCGTCGAGATGTGGGAGAGCGTTACACTGCAGGAAATTGAGGAGCTGGAGAGGGAGGAGGATCCGTTGAAGGGTGTTGGGTTGAAGGTGCAGAGTGGTTTGAGTAGCTTGAGGGGTCTCTTCAAGAAGGACTGAGTATGAGGTATGTATGTACACCAAGTGGTATCAACTCGAGAGAATTAATGAGTATATGAAGGGCTGGATACATGTATGTAAGCGCGGATGATCGTTGGTATATATCAGGGTATTTATTGCCTTTTCCTGTTCTGTACTCGTTATTTGTTGTTTTTCTTCTTTTGGTTCTCGACATCAGAGCGTTATATATATACTTCGGATTAATGCGGTTGATTGGATGTTATTTTGGATTTAGGAATTTATCTAAATATCTAATAAGTATATAATTATAACCTGCATATGCATGTGCATTTAAAAGCTTCTGATTGGCTCATTGAGAGAGGTTTTTGTTGTGTTGGATATGAACATAGGGTATTGTGCTAAGTGGTGTTAGATTGTTAATAGGTTTTCAACTGGTTCTAGGAATCGATTAGTAGTTCGATTTTAGCGGCTTGGTGGCTGTTAAAGGGATACTTGCAGCTTGAACTGTGACCTATCCACTGATATATGGGGGGTATCACTGATCAGAAAAGGCACATATCGACCAGAGCAGATATAGTGATGGACTTTGCCTGCCAGGAGGGGTCGAGGGCCGCGCAGCGGCCTGAGAGCCCCGACTGACAGGCAAATAGAGAAAATAAGCCGCAAGGCGGCTTGCCTGTATATTGGACTGATTGATATACATGTAGTACCGGCCGAAGGCCGGAAACCACTTGTATATACTATGTATGTACTCGATCCTTATCGTTTTGGTAAGTGTTTCTGTTGTTTGAATTTGGACTTATGTAGTAAGGTCTTGATTACAAACGTGAAAGGCGCCTCTCTGACCCCTGTTTTTCCTCTCGGAAATATTAACCGTATAAAAAGGCTTCACTTGGGGCCACAAGGGGGGTTTTCACATAGGTACATGTAGCCTTCTCTGCTTTTAAGCAGAAACAAGCGCGCTAGGGGTTAATTTCCCTCCGCAAATCAAGATACGCAAAACCCGAGTAGTAGTAGGTCAACTAACGACTCAAGTGAACACCAAAGCCCCGAATCACTCCTTTATAATTTAGGGATCGATTTTTTAACCGAAGCCCGGCCTTGCATTTTCTAATCTACTATTCAGAAACTATAAACACAGAAATGGTAGATTATGGATTGATCCTAGTAGACGAGCTCACGGGGGTATGGCGACCACGGGGGGGTGTGGGGGGATATTTGGTTTGTTTCCATCCACAGGACAGCTAAATTTAGAAGAATAAGTAAATTCGAAATATGGCATGAAACTCGAACAATTCATCGTCTTGAATTATATCCATTTGCAAATCGGTTTTAGTGCTCTCCGGCGTTGCAATCATACCCCCGTGAGCGCGTCTAATTACATAATCGAGAAAGATATTGGCCCTTCTCCACTCTATTTGAAGTTACGGCACGCATTACTCTTCGAGTAAGCGGAGCCTGCGGCGATGTAGTTGGTTTTAAGCTTTTATGCGCATGGGTTGAGGGGGTAAGCTGCAGTTGCGGTGTCCCCTTTGGGCATCCATCGTACGATGCCTCCGACAGCACATGTACATGGTACATGGGTGCTTGGGATTGACGAAGTAGTACTTTTCTAGTGCTATATATGGAACCTTTTTAGCCGATATCGCTGGAGTACTTCACAAGAAGTGGGTGTATATAACATTTAGTAAAACTCATCGAGTCTATATAAATTTATAATTATATACTCATGATACAGCAAAATAGTTCATGTTAATCACAAGCAGATCCAATGCTCAAAGTACCCAGAATCCACGCGCGCCCCGTACTACAGTGTTAGGTGATATGGCCGACCCCAATATCACCACCACGCCCAGGTAAAACAGCACCATGTCTTCAGTAACCTCGCCACGGAAGCCCCCACAAGGCAATATCATGCTGTGATCTTTCAGATCAATAGACTTAATATTAGAATCAACAGTGTCGTACAGCGTAATTAGAGGTGTAAATAACGTTCTATCGTAGAGAATCCTCCGCGTCGAAAGGGATAGGGCCAGAATCTATTCAATCCTGCCTAGCTCGCTACATGGAGCTTACACGGTGAGAAAGTAGCGAAGTAACCACAACTCCAGAACCCCTTTGGATCCCCTAAGACCGCCATTGATCTGGAAATATAAAGCAGCCCAAAACCCACCACTGATTACTTTCCGAGCCATCCACAACCACAAAGAAAAGCAAAGCGGCAAGCCTCCAGACATCTAAACATCCAAAGTCTTCCAGCCGGTCTAAGACATCACGTTCCCTTCTCCTCATCATCTCCTTCTAAAGCAGAAAGCCCACCTACCATATTCATCTTACAAAACAAATCCCGTCTCAATCCACCATGCAGACCTCCGTTCTCTTTGTAGGCCTCGTTGCCCTCCTTTCTGCTGCCGTCCTCGCGGCACCAGCTCCAGTCCCGGCCCCGGTTCCAGTTCCGGCCGCTGGGCCTGAGCCAATTTTTAAAGCGATAGCATGCTATTTCAAAGGGGGGAAAGGCTGCTGAAGCGGTTATCCTCGTTCTTCTTTTTTGGTACACGTAGTTGAGTGGGTGGAAGAGTACCTATGTGGCCACAGCGGAGGAGGGGTGGGTGCTGGGGATGGAGTGAGAAATGAGGGGTGTCTACATGTATATGACGGGTTTTCGAATTTCGGCACTTGTGCTTGTTTTATTATCGCATACATATTTTCTTTGGCGTGTACGAATTGAGTTTTGTTGGGCGGATGAGCTTAGCTATTTGACTTTCTTTCTCCTCTTGTTTGATCATACTTAGGATAGAGGCATCGATTTAGATATAAATAGTCGTATAGATTAAAAAGATCTGTTGATGAGCCCAGTTAATAGCATGCATGCATCCATACACTTGAGTCTTAAACACAAGTAAAAACACGAAACACAAAGATTTACCGCAGCTTTGTTATATTCGCTAGACCAGCGTCTAACGGATCCTATTTTGCCTAATAACACTTAACTGCTCTTTGGTGACATCTTTACGAGGACTAGAGCTCGATGTATCCTCAATAGATAGCTGCAGTGGTGCCAGTCTGGCCTCTAATTCGAGCTGGCCTGAATACGCACTCGCGGTGTGCAAGCCGGAAGAGCTCATGGGTCTATTTAATCTCATACCACTTTCCTCTGAGTATGAGGCAGGAGTGGTATTATACGTAAAGAGAGTTTCATAATTAATTGATCTGAGCAACGAGAAGAATCATAACATATCACTCGGGTAAGCGTTAGAGTGATACGCTAGGCTTTTGTTGCTGCGTACTCGGAGAATGCGCTTGAAGTATTATATCTCTATTGATTGGAGAATCAATTCATTAATCCTCATTGCTCTCCACGTAATCGCTCTTGTTTTCAGATCAGGGCATAGCGTAAATTGAATATATCCATGTATGCGTGAGTGTCGTTATGTTGGTAAATATGAGAGCAATATAATACTGTTGGTCGAGAAATGTCGGACCTATGCCTTCTACCTGATCGAATACACCTGGACGTGAGGAGCTGGGTGTGGCCAGTAATTGTCTGAAATCATGGATCATCACTCGATTCGTTAAGTTCGAACCATATGTTTTATATAGTTTAGTCCAAGCCCGTGATCAAGTTGTCTAGAGATCAAGGTAGTATTAAGATCTTAGACAAAGGGAAAAAAATATCTCTGTCGGCTTCTCATCCAAAGTGAGAGGGTATGCAACGGCAGGTTTTGGATATATAAAGCTATCCAGACTCAGACCTGACTTATATGTTTTTTTAAGACAGAAATGCCAAAACTATAGGAAGGACAACTCATAACTCCTTCGACTAGTTAGTAGTCGTGCTCATCTATGGTTTATATCTATAACCCCCACATGGGGGATCAGATTTTCCATTGACGTGATACATTCTGCGGGCCTTCGTATAATATTCGTAAGTGCGACCTGGACTGTATTCCCTTAGCTTGCCCATTATGGTCGGTAGCATTTAATAAGGTGGTAAATATATGTTTTATCTGCCACGCCAAAAGACAACCTGATCAATCGACCTCGCTGTTACCTTTATCCGGGAAGATGAGCGGTATCTCGGCGGGATGTTGGCGCATAAAATATCTCCCTATAGTGATTCTGTGGATCATATAGGAGGGAATGTTCTGGAATGGCTAACAGGAGAATGGTCCCAGTTGCGCATGTGTGTTGCGGGTCAGACTGCTCGTAGGTCGTTCGATACTGTATCGGATCATGGTCTAACAGAAGGAAGAATTGTACATAGTTGAATATTTGTTTACATGTAGTTTCTGCTGTTTGAGAACCATGCAGCATCCTTTGGGATAAAGTAGCTGGATGCGCTCCGGTCGTCTGGGTATTTCGTATCCAGGTGATGTATATTCTGGCTTGTTTAAATGATGTGTATTCTGGGTGTTCATCCTGTACAAATTGCCTGGGGAGCTATCAATCTCAGGTTTAGCTTGCAAGTAGTTCGTGTAAGAAGCCTTAAACTTTCTGTTTATTGAAGCTGTTTTATTAGAAACTCGATGTATTATCTGATTTACAACTCGTTCGAGTCGGTTGCAGCTCGTCCCAACATTATATCAAACAAAAGCCCAGACGACTGCGAGATATTGACTGACCTTACATCCAAAGATGCATGTTGAAAAGATTTTGTGACATCTTTGTTTTCATTTTATGGACGTTATGTAACTCTGACCTCGAGACTATGAGAGCGAAAAGTCGTCACTCACCAGACATCGCCCACCATCAGCCAAAATTAGACAGCCACGTTTCCTATTCAGCGCACACTCTAGCCCGACCCGTCCAAGTGCACCACCGCCCCTCTGCGCTCATCATCTGGTCAGTATTCTGCCCCCCCGAGAAGCATAAGCAGCCATACCGCACAGCTGCCATGTCGCCCCTCCTCATTGAACACCGACGAGTGACCAAATGCTGCGTAGCATTCGCGCAAACACGTTTAAGCGGCGCAATAGGCGCGGCCATATCGTTCAAGCCGCGGAATACAATTTTCTTATAGCCGTCTGTCTCCTCCGCTCCGTCGGCTGGGTCGGGACCGGCACCTGGCTGAGAGTCCAGTTCCGACCCCCGTGGCTCGCCCGCGCGGTCAAGGGTCTTGCGGCGAGGATTAACGCTCTTTTTTCTCGCCGCTGTGCCGATGCACCGGGTCCGGTGGGTGCCAGTGCTAGCGAGGCCGAGCTTGGTAGAACGGGTCTGGGGTGTGTAGTGGTCCCCGGTTGTTGCTGCTCGGTCTTGGGTTGGTGCCAACACCCGCGCAGACACCCTCCAGCGCCCCGGCCGGCGCTGCCCGGCATGCGCGGCCGCCCGCCCCCGCCGCGACTTCCCCCGCCGCGGGTTCCGTATCATACCGCGCGCCATCAGCCCGCATGTAGCCAATGCTTGACCCGTCACGCCGGGACCGCGGCCGCCGTGAATAGCTGCCCCGCCGACCGCACCGGCACCCTCGGCGTGCCGCTCGAACTACGTAGGAGCCTTGGGATCTTTGTCTGGCGGATGTGAGCGTCGATGAGTTTCCAGACTGGAGCGCCCGGGCGGCACGTGGGCGCTGTACGAGGAGCGGGTGAAGGCGAGGCTGCGGCGGGGCGTGGAGGAGTGGCGGTGGTGCGGCGCCGGGTGCGGGCATGGGCAGCTGTTTGTGGGCGTGACGGGCGGCATCGTGGTGTGCGAGATGTGCGGTGGGGGGGAGAGCTGCTATGTGCATGGCGGCAGGTGGCATGAGGGCGTGAGCTGTCGATGTCTGCAGTTGACTGCGGGTGAGAGAAGATCTTAAGAGTTGCGGGCTGTGAGAAGAACCGGGTATTTAGTAACACTCCCAATGCAGAACCGCCACAATTTAGTAGCAGAGCCGTGCGAGATGTGATTGGTCGGGTACATAAGCCAAAACAGAGTCTTGTCCTGTCTTGTCTTGATTTTGGCTAATGGGAGACGCCTTATGGAATTACATGGAGAGAGCATCGTCTGTCGCTCGTAGAATGCAAGCCGTGTCCCATTCCATGGGATCTCTTTGCCTCAATAATCGCTGTGGAGAGGCGTCTTGTTGCACGCTTTGAACGCCCATCTGCCGACGGTCTCTGGTGTCGCTTGCATTTCATCGCGCAGCTAGCTAGCAGTGCAGAAACATCACGATCACGGCAAAGAGCTCGTAAACCCCCCAGATCAAAACCTCTTCTCTTGACCAGCATTTGACAAACCCCCCACCCTCCCCAGCTAGAAACCCCTTCTCTTGACCGGCATTAACTTGACAGACCACTCAGGGCCAGGGTTCTGTCTTACCCACCAACCAACCGCGATACCTAGCTGATCTGTGTGGCGGTACGCCACGGTGTCCTTATCGTTTCCACAGCCCCACCAAACCAACCAGCCTTAGAGCTCTGGAATCCCGTGGAGCTTATAACCCAGTCAGTGTGTTCCGTTTCAGCAACAACGACAGCGACAACGACAGCGACAACGACAGCGACAACGACAACGACAACGAAGCCATGAAGACAACCATGAAGAAGCCCACGAATGCGGTGCTGTTGGGCGTGCTGCTGTCGCTGGCCGGCTGCGCGGAGGCGTTCGGCCCGCAGAAGACACTGCTGAGTCGGATTGACTCGTTGACGCTGCGCAGCGATATGATGACCAAGGGCAGGAGGGTGGATCCGATCCCGCAGGTGGGTGCTTTCTGTCTGTCTGTCTGTCTGCTTTGCTTTGCTTTGCTTTGCTTTGCTTTGCTTTGCTTGGTGGTGGTTATTGGTGCTGACTGAGACGACATGATGTAGCTGAAATGTGTGGGCGGTGATGGCATGGGGAGATATGAGGTTGATGTGATGCGGTGCAAGAACCGGGGGAGGTGAGCTGTTTACCCGTGTATTAGTGGGCTGGGGAAATCATGTGCTGACGGGAGTATGCTACTAGCGACTATGGTGATGAGAATATCAGCTGGTCGTGTACGGCGGACCTGCCGAGGGAGTTTAAGCTTGGTGCTACGGATGTCATCTGTGAAGGGTAAGCCGATGGAGCTGTTTCGAGCTTCGTGATGATTGATGATGCTGACGGAGGGGATAGCTATGACAGCCCGGACGACAACTACATCCTCAAAGGTAGGCTTTCCATCTATCCACCTAATACAGCGCACTGGAACTGCATTTCTCACTGACGCTCTGACTAGGCTCCTGCGGCGTCGAGTACCGCCTGGCACTCACCGACTACGGCTACGAGAAATACAGGTCCTCCGCCTGGACCAACCGCTTCACCAACGACAACAGCACAAGTAGTATGTTCCCCCCACACCTTCCCTCTGAACGGTTTACTGATGCCCGCTCCGCAGCAAACATAACTCTCTTCATCTTCTGGACAATCTTCTTTAGCATCCTCGGCTGGATCATATACTCCGCGTACACCTCGGCCTCCACCGCCCCGCGCGCGCCCCGCACAGCTGGAGGCGCCCGTCCCTCATTCTGGGGTGGAGGCGGTGGTGGTGGTGGAGACGACCCGCCACCGCCATACGACTACTCGAACCGGAAGCCGCAGCAGCAGAGGCAGGGGCCGGGCTTCTGGACGGGTGCCGCGACTGGTGCGGCGGCGGGGGCGGCAGCGACTAGGTTATTTAGTGGCAGCGGCAGCAGCGGGAGAGAGAGGGCACCGCCGCCGCCGGCACCGTCGTACTCGGGGGCTAGCTGGGGCGGCGGCGGTGGGGAGAGGGGGGAGAGTAGTAGTGCGGGGGCGAGACATTCGAGTACTGGGTTTGGACAGACGAGGAGGAGATGATGGGGAGGTGTGGGATGGGAAGAGTAGTAGATACATAGTTATTAAAATGGGAGCTTCACCGGGATATTTGTGTTGTTAGTTAGCCTGTCATTGTTAGGCACACAATGGGAAAAAGGACGAGTATTATTATGTCTTTGAGATCACATAGCTTAGTATCTTGGATTGTCGTGTTTTTGTACGTGGTCTATGATTAGTAGGAATGTTACATGGCCCCCCCCCCCCCCACAAACACATATGTACATGTAGCCATTAGCCCTCTCAATACCAAAATGTCACTCGAGCGTGCACAGTCCGAGGCCGCGCCGTGAAATCAACGGCCGCGCCCTAAACGCTGTCGATCAACCGCTGATCGCTAATCACCGCGCGGACCTTGGTGCTGGGGCCGCATGCGCATCACAATGTAGGGGGCTTTAGAGTTAATTTGCGGAGTGAATTAATCACCGAGACGGAGAAACAAACGCTCAGCTGCAGGTTTGGGGCGGGGCACAGCTATGGTGTCTGGAGTCTACATGTAGGCAGAGATGTTTTACTCTGCTAGAAGAGGTATGGCGCGCGGTTAGAGGGTAAGGCTGGAGGAATGGATGGATGGATGGATGGATGGATGGATGGATGGGCTGCTTGGGGGTGGACCAATGGGGTTGTGTCGGTGTGTGGTGTGTGGTGTGTGGTGTGTCTGCATAGAAGAGTGGAGAGAGTGGCAGAGTAGGGTGTAACATTACATTGTAGAAGCACAGTAGAACGCATGGACTCTCTTTCCAGAGTGCTTACATGTAGTTCCCCTATGGTTACTCAGTGTCAGGCTTACCGTGGAGCATCCATCTCACACAAGCGCTGTCGTTGATTTCTAGCCTTCTAACTGAACGTTGTGATTATTCCTGGGCTGACGTGCCGAGACCCCTGCTTCGATAAGATAGGGTGTAACGATCTTATCCGTAAGTACTTTATTCTCCGGGCTCTTGGATCTCGTTGTGTTTCTAGACTAGAATATCTCCCGTCGCACTGCCGGTCACTCGGTGGAGGTCGAGGGGCAGGTGCGCCTATCTCTGCCGCACGCGTCTACGCTCAGTTGGGTGGTGGGGAGTGGCGGTTGACGATCGCGCCCGGTTAAGCTTGTCTTTGTACCTGCATTCCTCGCACGGTTGCCAGGGGTAGAGTCTGCCTAGCTGATTTGGACGGTTTCAACGTCAGCGCCCTCAGAGCTCCGCCGCCAATGGTCCACAAACAGGGAAAGCCTCTTGTTTCACCGGGTGGGAAACGTCTTTTTGGACATGCGCTGCCGTTGGCTAAACGGTCATGACGGTCCTGCCCCTTGCATGCCTGGCCACTTTCAGCCGCTGTTCAGTAAAAACAGTTGAATGGCTACATGTGCATGTTTCCTCCTGAGCTGGACGGAACCGTGGGTGTATATAATGGTGGCCTCGCTGCTCCCGGTGATGATAGTATCTTCCAGCTTTAAACCTTATAGTATATCAACTTCCTTCCTTTTCTTGCACTATTTAGCCTGTGGCTGCCACTCTCGCTCTCAGTTTCTGTCGCTCTCACGCATATTACTACAGACATTACATCACTCGCCCACTCTTCATAATAATACCTAATACCTACACAAACAGCGTTGAACGCAGTACTACTACCTACACACACACAATGAAGTTCATCCTCGTCTCCTCGCTCCTCGCCCTCGCCGCCGCAACCCCCATCGAGCACTCCAAGCGTGCCGGCGGCGCCTTCGACAGCTCCTACCAGGTCGGCTCCATCACCAGCTCGCAGGTCGTCGCCGCGGCCCCCGGCTCCTCGTCGTGCGCTACCGCATCGTTCGCCAGCGAGTGCCACGACTCAAAGAAGGCAACACCGCTCCTCAATGATGCGTTCAAGCAGTACAAGCAGACGACACTGGGCGAGGTGGCGGCGCTGCTCGGGCTCATGTCCCTGGAGAGCGGCGACTTCCAGTACAATGAAAACCACTTCCCGGGAAGACCCGGTCAGGGCAGTATGTATACCTTGTATAGGCGTATGGGTGATTATGATGATGGTGGCTAACAGAATGGGTTGTGTAGCCAAGGCGATGTTGATGTTTAACTTTATCTACGACTATGCAGTAGATTCTGGCTTGAAGGCTCAAGTGGCTGAGATCGCCGGCTCGGACCAAGCATCTTCGATCCCGGATGACAAAAAGAACAACATCAGGGCGTTGGTCACCACTGACAAGTAAGTTCTCCCCTATGTCTAATCTTTCTATCCTAGGCCTGTACTGATAGCAGTGATAGGTATACGTTTGGCGCCGCACCTTGGTTCCTCAGCAAGAAGTGTACGCCGGAGGTGCAGAAAGGTGTCAAGGAAGGCGGGTTCAAGGGCTTCCAGACGTACATGCAGGACTGCGTCGGCACTGGCGCGCTCAGTGCTTCTGACGATAGGGGGAAGAAGTGGTGTGCGGCGGTCAAGGCGGTGAAGCCGGACAGCATGTCGATGCCTTCGGAGTGTGCGTAAACGCATCGTCGCCTTGTTTTTTTATAGCGGTGGGTGCCGGGGTGGAAGGTTTTATATATAGCGAATGAGGCTCTTTTTCTTGTTTTTTTTCTTACTACTCTTTTTGTTTGTGTTCTTTGGGGGTATTTTTGTTTTATCTACTCTACATTCTTAGCTAGTCCGTGGAAAGGGGAAAATACTAGAATTCTTTTCACTCTTCACATACCTCACAAAAAGTCTTCATCTCGCAAGCAATCCATAGAAATGCCTCTCGGCATTCCAAGCATCCCCGGTGAACCCCCGGCCACACCATTCACCGACGGCAACACCACACCGGATACCGAACCGAGCCCACCAAACGCCAAGCCTGAAGAAAAACGGCACCTGGCATGGAAAAAATAGGTCTGAGGCCTGAAGATTTATGCAGTGGCAGTGATGAAGTTGATGATGTTGAAAGTCGTGGGGTGTTCTGCCCCACCTCCCGCTACATACTACTGCTGTGCCGCATTCGGATCGTGCCGTGCCGCATGCATGCTTGGCGTTCCTGCATACAGCAACCAACCTTAAAACCTAAACCTGACCCCGACCTCGCGCGAGTGCGTTTTTGTGATGGTGTCATGTACGGTGTTGAGATGGGCATATGGTGCACACCGAGGCGAAAAAGCTTGCTCTAGTGGTCTCATTCTAGGTACACTGTATATCGCCTTATTGGATGAAGATGTTTCGCTTGGGTGCCCTTGGATGTAGAGAGAGCGGTGTTAGGGTTATTACAGGCTAGGCTTATGTACTTGGTTTCGTTCCGCAGATTGACGTGGCTTGGACTGGGGGTTATATGTATCGTAATACTCCTGGGTCTTTGATGCGAGTGCGTGTGGTGGCGGTGGGTTCTCGGGTCGGTGAGGGTTTGGTGGTGGGTCATAAGGTGTCACTCGGTGATGAATGTGCGATCTTTGCAGAAGTATTAGGTGTCAACTTGGATGTATCAATTCCTATAGGTACCTGTATATAGCGTGGGCATTGATACGCATATTCGTGTATGTATACATGTACCTCTCGCCCGCTGTACATGTAGAAGCACACGTATATGATACATTATAAATCTGCGGGACATCCACGCGTGGACACACAAGGGTGGATTGAGAGGTAGTCGTAAGCTACCAGTATATATACGGATAAACCCGCTAGTGCTTTGGATAGTCCTGCAAGAGATGAGATACTTGGTAGCGCTCGAGGCCAAGCCTTTTTATGGGCCGTCCGAATCAATTCCCCGCCTGGGTATTTTGGGGAACCACTAACGCGTCGAGGAGTAAGAATGAACAGGCATATCGGCCCTTCATTCTCCCTTCCTTCTCGTCATCCACTCTTCTCATCGTCCACTGGTCTTCTCATCGTCCACTGGTCTTCTCATCGTCCAATATTCTCATTGTCCACTATTCACATATATATCGTCCACTCTTCACATCGTCCACTGGTCTTCTCATCGTCCAATATTCTCATCGTCCACTATTCACATATATATTGTCCGCTCTTCACATCGTCCACTGGTCTTCTCATCGTCCAATATTCTCATCGTCCACTATTCACATATATATCGTCCACTCTTCACATCGTCCACTGGTCTTCTCATCGTCCAATATTCTCATCGTCCACTATTCACATCGTCCTCCCAAAAATCGACATTGGCTATTAAAAAGATACGTATTTACAATTAAAATTGGTTAATTGGGAATTTCTTGTTTGGAGGCTTTATGGAAGGTGCTAACGGATTAGTATCGAGATCAAAAATGTCTGCAGCTGGCCCCGGAATGTGCAACAACGTTTACGTTGACGGAGAAGCCCGGGAAAGGCTTGAGCAATTGGACATGGTAAGAATTCACTCATCAAACTGTCACTTGTTTACTTATCATGTATTTATGTCTAACACAAGGGGAAACATAGGTTGTTAAATCCATTCAAGAAAAGTTGGAAACCTTATATACAAATAAGACTTCTTCTCCCTTTGGCTGAGTCCGTCCTGGCGGATGGACCTTACCAGACTATCTCACACTGTGTGGTTCCTCACACTCCTCTTTGTTGTTAGTTGTTCTCCAGGGCCTTATTATCTTATATATATAGATACTGATAAAGCTCTTAGGTGGTACTCCAAGTAATTGGAGAAGGAAAGTTTATTAAGCTAAGAGTTGTCCAACTCTTTACCGGCCGCGAGTTCAACCGTGGCTTTGCTGCGGGGGTGGAGCTTGCCGCCGCCGGGGATGGGGAGGTTGCCCCCCCCCGCCGCGGCGGCATAGCTCTACTAGGGCGTTTTTTCTCATTTTCTCTCTCTTGTCTTTTCTTTTTTTTCTCTCTTTTTCCTAGGTTTTTTTCTTTCTTTTTTCCTTCTTATTTCTTTTCTTTCCCCTTCCCTTTCTTTTTTTTCTTCCATATATTTACTTTCGATTTTTTTTTCCTCCTTTTTCCTTTCTTTTTTTTCTTTCATGTTTTCTTTCGATTTTTTTCTTTCTTTTTTCCTATCTTTTTTTCATGTATTTTCTTTTTCATTTTTTTCTTTTCTTGCTTCCTATCATTAATTTATTATCTTTTTTTTTTCAATTTATTTTTCTAGCTTGTACTTTAGCAAATAATTACCAAGTTATTTTGCTAAATTCAGTGATCATGCATGGCCAGCTAGACGATTAAAATGTGACTACTGTTAATAAATGATTTGGTTATTTATTAATGAATGACCTTTTCTAATTTATTTATTGTTTTACTCCTGAGTTATATTGTGAGCAAAGGTTCAATCCACGCTTCGAATTCACGGATGAGGATTGGATGTAGAATACCCCCGGGTTTAATCTACCCTTGCGATTGTTATTCCAGCCAGGTTGATATCGCTATGACTACGAGATCTACCACTAACGTACTTACCTACAATAAAAGAGAGAACTCGCACTTGCTGCCGCTGTCTAAAACGTCCCATCATGAAAACAAAGAGAAGTGAGCAGACCGCGATGGAAATAGGTGGTAAATACATGTATATACCTGTACCTTCAGGCACTCCAAGTGTTCAAGATGTATAGCCCTGCCCTTGTCTGCGGGGTCTGAATTGTAGAATGTCGATAAGCAAATCCCGCTGAAATAAATTACAATCTCAAGGGCAGATTAAACACGGGGGTATTCTGCATCCAATCCTTATTCGTGAAGAGTGGATTAAATCTTTGCTCATTATGTTTACTGCTGCTACGGTATATCTCTGTCTATCATTTAACTACCTGGTATACCATATCTACTGCTGCTGCTCCTGCTAATTAGCACGATGGATTTGACCTATCTTGATAATGGTGATGATGGCGGTGCTGGCCGGGTGATGATACTACGTTGGCAGGGTCCGGAGGGAGAACAAAGAGGAACTGATGGGAGATGTATAGGGAAACTGGTGGGGCACCGATATATTCTGATCAGCTAGACTAAAATGGAGTGGCGGTGGTGATATTGGTGATGATGATCGTGGTGGTCGTGGTAGTGTTGAAGTGTTGGTGTTGAAGAAGAGAAGACCGCCCGTGGCGATGACTTTCCAGGGGGAGGGTCATTAAATGGGAGGGTCATTTAGATGGGAAGGTCGTTTAGTCGAAGTCATTCAAGTAGGGGGCGTCATTTTCTCAAAAGTCATTTATCGGACTCACTAAGGGCCCGCTTTGGAGCCGTCCAAAACAGAGTTATGGGGGCTTAAAACTCCGTTCTGGCGGAAACTCCGTTCTGAGAAAATGGGTTGTGTTTGGCGACCCATTTTGCGGGTCTAGAAAACAACGTTAACCCCACGAAAACAGAGGTTTCCAATAAGCAACTAGGACCTACCTTTTCGCTTAAAACTCCGTTTCAAAATTCACCGTATACCACCCACTAACGGAGGATGATTGAAAGGTAGTTTTCTACTGAGGCCAGCTCCCAAACGGGCCCTAATTTAACACCGAAGTCATCTATAGTTGTCTCCTGCATGGACGTAGTCATGAACTCCGAAGTGTTATACATACTGTGTGTCGATCAATGGCTTTCCGTAGTCATCCTAAGTATCGTGCTATATTTGGAACGATGACAACATTTCATACCCAAATCTACATCTAATAAGTATATAATTATAACCTGCATATGCATGTGCATTTAAAAGCTTCTGATTGGCTCATTGAGAGAGGTTTTGTTTCACTTGAAACATGCTGTGTTGGATATGAACAAGGGTATTTATTGAGTGGTGTTAGATTGTTAATAGGTTTTCTACTGGTTCTGGGAATCGATTAGTAGTTCGATTTAGCGGCTTGGTGGCTGTTAATGGGATATATACTTGCAGCTTCAACTGGAGAAATTGTCTGACCTGTCCACTGATATATGGAGGATATCAGAAAAGGCACATATCGACTGGCAGAGCAGATATAGTGATGGATTTTGCCTGCCAGGAGGGGTCGAGCCCCGACTGCTAGGCAAAGAGAGAAAATAAGCCGCAAAGCGGCTTGCCTGTATATTGGACTGATTGATATACATGTAGTACCGGCCGAAGGCCGGAAACCACTTGTATCTACTTATTTACATAGCTATATAGATGTAGGTATGAAACATATCAGGTTGGGTAACGCGTTACGATTCGGCCTAACCGCCTAAAGGATAACACTCCGGTCCGCTAATTTCCTGAGTAGGTACTGTCACAATCTATACTAATCAACCCAGATCGTAACCAATATCTAACACTCCGTTCTTCAAAACTGCGATATGAATATGGCGAGGTTGCAATCTGGCAACAATCAAATATGTGATTTTTGGGACCTAGTATATTTGTGAATATCGTGGTTACAATTGGTATGTTCGGCTGCAACCACAATCTGGGATGATGCAGGTATGATGGGTAGGTTGAGCCGCTAATTCTAGCAGTGGTAGTTCAAATATTTAGGTTAGAGCAAGATATTTTTTATCGTAATATTAGGCAGATAGCAGATTGAGAATGTTGACATTTTGTGGTTGCTAGAACACTACCACTAGAAAAAAATATTGCATATTTTCTCAATATCACGATATTCAGCCGAATATCGTGATATTGATGTGTTGCCGAACGGAGTGTAAAGCTACAACCAAAGGAATTAGACGTTGTGGCGCAGGCGAGGTAGCCAAGGTTAGAAGATGACAACGGGACGGACTGTATGTCAGGACATGCAGGTCACAACAAAAACCGTGTCCGATGTAGCTATACGTATACTTAGTTTCCGACTATTCTCTTCCCCCGTCTCATCATACCATCATCATCATATATCATAGTCGACCGAGCTTCGTTTTCTGTCATCAGAGCCTGAGATTTTGTACAGAGAATCACGTAGGACAACACAAATCTATTGAACTCCTGTTTCGCTGCAAAACGTTATGGCTTAGACCATTCATAAAACTCGTGAGCTACACTTACTGTTTTAAGAACCGTCGCGTGATTTATTGAATTTAGCTTCGAGACTTAAGGCATAAAAACCTCCAGGAATATATCTACGGGGCGCCGGGGCAACCTCTATAGTTTAAATGGTATGTGACTGCCGATCCGAGAAGAATTGGGAACTTTTGCTCGTATGACCTGGTGCTAATTCTACGATTGCGAAAAACCTTATGGAAACGTAAGATTGCCCTTTCACTACGTGCTACTTTACCGAAAATCCTTTGTAATTGAACCCGCACTGATTTGCTCATTCTCTGTTTAAGTTTTGATCTTCGGTCATTCAATTACTAGTTTCCTTTTCCACACCACCTGAGCCTATAATTCAGCCGATATCAGCATGTAGGTTCAACTGGCGCTCATAGAACAAGTGTAACTCACGCCCACAGTGCTCCGGAAGATGCGGTATATCATAAAAAACCACAGCAGCGTAATCCCAAGCATCATTAGGGTCTCAACTCCATTCAGGCCTGCCTTCCCGGGATGTGACACTTGTGGCAGCTTCTCAGTGGACAGGTCCGCGCGGCTAAAGCCAGACCTAATATCAGTGTGCTGGTTTTGTTAGTTTAAGCTGGGCTATAAACACTTAAGCTGCTATAAGGAATACCTTTGGGGCCACTGTTGGCGGTACTTGAACACTCCCCCACGCGTTTTTCTCCGCCGTTTCTATTCCAGTATTTGGATTAGAATATTCCTAGTCTAACAGTACATGTAGCTAGGAGAGGAGGAATGTATCTACTTAGTAAACATGGTGTCAACAGACTGGGGGGAGCCTCGCATGAGCCGTAGTTGGAGAAGCCGGATCCTAAGGGACGTTGACTACGCATAGACCTGTCTCCAGAAACATACCTAAAGTAGAAGTAGAATTTGTTCAGCAAACATGATGTATCATTCAAGCACATATTATCCGTAGGCTTATTTATATTGTATTTCGGCTTATCGAAGAGTGATGTTGGCTCGTCAAAGAGGCAATGTGGCTCAGAGCCCTCATAAATCGAGAGTAGTCCGTCAAGGCCAGAATCGAACACGACAAAGAATTTGTCGCGTCCGTCGAAAGGCCCCCTTTCCAATAGGCAATCGGGCTCAGAGTCTTCAAAGAGGGGGATTGACTTGGCGAATGGAGATTCCGGCATGCCGATTCTAGATTTAAGCTCATGGGAGAGAAAGTCGCCGAATGGGCATGCAGGTTTGCCAAATATGCATGTCGGCTCACCGAACAGACATTCCGCATCGCCCTGTTGACATTTTGCCTTGCCTGATACACACTTTGCCGCGCCACAACATTTCTTATACGTTTTCAGTTAGTACTCATTGCCAATTAAAGGGTAAGGAAATTGGACATGTATTATCTACATGTATATATTATATATGGGAAGCGGAAGACTACATGTACCGTACCAATGTATAGAAGTACATCTAACAATAATTAATGTATGAGATGAAGATTGCGGTGTGTGTAGAGCTTACACGTCCCAATAAAACGGAGCGCAGAGGTAGGTTCTTTTATATACAGCACCATACAGATAAATAGCTGGTGATTATAAATAAAGATATCAAAATAATCTGCTTTATTTGTTTACGGAGAAGTTAACGCGGTTCCTGCAGACTATTGTATTTAGAATGGGTGAAGCTAGTCAACTCTCCATAAATCTTCTTGCGCTAAGCTCCTCGGGCGTCACGTCAGATTAATGTCATATATACATACATGTGCATGTACTTATATATCTAGACCGGCTCCCCAACCAGCGAGGGCACACCCCCTCGCGAGTTTGGCTGCGTGGCGAAGGGTTCCAACGCACGCCACCTAGCCAAAAATCTCTAGGATTCGCGACTGGGGGTGCGCTCGCTGCTGGGGAAATAGGTCCACTCTTTATCACCGTTTCGAGTCAATCTTATAAGCTTGAGCCAATTCGGACGTCCGACGTTGTGGCGCACGCTAGTGATAGCCCTTTAGTAATAAAGTAATCGTGTAGCTAGTGGAGAGATGATAGACAGGTACGTGTTAAAATGGGACTAGCGCCTATAACTTAGATTTTTTCTTGTTTCCTTTTCATCATCATTAGAATAATATCGTTGTTCTCGCTGCCATAGAAAACTACAACTTTTTTGTTTTATCGAGAAGAAATAGAGAGGTAAGAGCAACAGGCAGCCAACGGCGTGGTATTGGAAGCTGTGGTAAATTTGCTAGTGTAGCACTCCTCTAGGGAAGAAAACCGAGTTTTACCTGAACAGAACCGTGTTCGAGTGGCCTGGAGCTAGCTACTATGATGTTTACGTTGTAGGCCGTACATGTATGTAGAGAATAAATACCCCCGAGGTATCTTTTAATACCATGATATTTTGCGAGGATAGTTTATACTATATTATTGAAATTGAATATTTTGGCCGTCGAACACTTGAATATCACGATGTTTGGAACACATTCCTGTTTAGTGCAAATATGATAGTATTAATGTCCGTCGGAACAGCTCTACTAAAATCATAGTAAATACAGTTCTCATAAACTCGTAACCCCAACCAGCAAGCCACTGAACGCCATGAAATGCGACACATCAACCGGAGATCAAATTTGATTGCGAGCTGTCGAGGTTAGGGTGCTTACCATAAGTAAAATCCAATAGGCTATTATATTTGTAAAGAGGCCGCGCTGGTTGGTTTTATTTTCCGGGGATCGACCTGTGTAACTCCCATAGCTGGGAGGGTCTGTGGTTAGAACGGACTAGTTATATTTAAAAGTTGGTAATATGTACTTGATAATCAGGTTTAAATATCCCCCTCCCCCATTTCTTATCGCGGTAGATAGATGTGTGCGTGAAATAACACGCGGTCATGGGATATGATTCGCTTCATGAAGTGTCACCCGGGTCATGGAAGGTCACTCGGATGACTGCGCTGCTTGGTGTTATTTTTTTTTTGTTTAATTCATTAATTGTATGCAAGCTTGGTGTCATTTGTGGATTCTGATAAATTGATTATTCTATAATTTATTGTTATTTGTGTTACTATTTCGAGTAATTGGTTAGATATTACACGAGGAGGGCTCATAAATATTCTTATAGCTGCTGGGCCATGGGAGAGCTGACAGTGAATTACTAGTCTTATCTTCTTTTGAATTATTTGAGCTGAGGCAGGTTTTGGGGTCTAGCTTGAGGCAGTGGTGTATATCTCAAATTGCATCAAACTTATAAAATCACTGGGAAGCGCTTCAGTCCTTGTACTTCATGTTAAAAGCGAAAAAGATACAAAACTTGAACATTCTATTGTACAATCGGAAATAAAAGGACACATGAACTACACATCACTACACGAAACAAAGAGAGTAAACAAACCAAAACAAACCAAAACAAACCAAAAATTACATTATACAAGAAACAAAAGAAATAATTGACAGAAGGAAAAAAACTACTCGAAATAAAGGGCGTATCCACTTCCAGAAATATGCGTCTCTATAACGCTGTATCAAGATTCTGCCTGTATGGCAACGAACCTTTCAAATATCCGAATACATCTGGAGTGCACATGCTATATTGTGGGATTATACTTCGAAGTTGTTACGATATTAATTTAAGATTTGTGCTAAGCGTACTAGTCAATCATCTTTACATGATGCACATAATGGTAAATGTTCTGAATAATAAGGTACATAGATTGGTGATGCTTGTTTTCTCCTCATAAATATTTCAGAATACGCGACTGCCGATTAGTTTAAGCGGTCCATATAGGCACACGCCTATACAAGTACGTTTTTGAGGAAGTGAATACCCTAAAGAGGACAAACAAACAAACAAACGAAAACTCAAACAATGCCTATAATCATGTAGTACGTTTACGTTAGAAAAGAAGACAAAATAACAAGCAGATCTATAAAGCTAGATCTATAGAGGGAGGGAACGACATACCTATGACCGCCTCAGCGGCCACCTCCGGCTCCGGGGAAGCTCCCCTCATGGAGTTTGCATGGGGTTGGGGGCTATGAACCCCCGAACTGATCTTACACACCTAGTCCACAGGTTAAATACCCTGGGACATGGCTTATACTCGTAAAACAACTAGGAATCGTTGGTATCTAAAAGAGGAAAGGAGAATGAAAAACACTAACAATAGATAAAAATATAATAAAGTACATTATAATGTACTGTTGGGATGTAAGGTTAAAATAACCTTTACTCTTACACGAGCACTCGAAATCTCGTTTCAAGTACTCTCTCTCACGCTCTAGGCTGTGAGAGTGTAGATGATTGTACAAATACACGTAGCCGTCCTGCAGCTTCTTGAGGGCCTAAATTTCAAATGGGATTAGACCTAGGTAATGCATAGATAAGAGAGGTTACTTTAGGGAGAATACATACCTCAATCTGGCACTCCGGCTCTTGGAGGTTACAAAAGAGAAACATCATCTGATAGTTTGAATTGCAATTTCCGGAGATATTGTGAGAATGGACTTGTGATATTGTTGATAGCAATAGACGGTCCAGAAGTACGGTTTTACTTGTCCATCCTTACTTCATAATATAGTGATACTCGCCTTATAAGAATATTTTCAATACAGATTTCGGTCCCGACCGTATTCTTGTATCGAGAAGCTGCTGTATACTGCTCGAACGTGAGGATTAAATAACCTCTACGTATACTCCTACACTCGCAATCGAAGTCTCGCTTCAAGTACTCTCTCTCACGCTGTAGGCTGTGAGACTGTAGGTGGTTGTATAAATACACGTAGCCGTCCTGCAGCTTCTTGAGGCCTAAAGTTCAAATGGGATTAGACCTAGGTAATGCATAGATAAGAGACGTTACTTTAGGGAGAATACGTACCTGGATTTGGCATCCAGGCTCCTCAAGGTCGCAGGAGGCCACCATATTATAATAGTTTTGGTTATATAAGTATTTTTTGTTCATATTTATGTCAGAGTAGGATGTCGTATATAGAGGTTTATCAAATGACGGGAGGATAATGATTAAGAAAGAGAGAGGGAAAGTCCTCTATTTATAGATACAGTTTGGAGAACGAAGTGGCGCGAAGAAAAGGGACAGATACAACTAAACGTTTGGACAGATGTATGTCCAAACAACATACATGAAACGTTGATGCTATAATATGTACTTATTCTTTGAATATATGTCTTATAGATGTACATAATTAATTATAAGGTGTACTCTAGATGACATGTATGTGCCTGCACATTACACAAACCTGACCGTAATATTAAATGATATGTATCGCGTACTTTTTATGTGACCTAGATAGGGATGGTACAGCCGTGCCCGTGGTAAGTTCGTATTGCATGTCGACGCCCAAGGGCGTGGTATAGTAAAGCACGATTCGATTTTAGAGTTCGTAAGTGTCCATCGCTTTGCAATTTGATTCCCAGCCATCCTGCCCCAGAAAAATCTCGACTGGTACTAAACTATATGTATATACATTACCGCCCGAATGGGTAAAAAAATAAGCCTTATTTCGAGCTCTAAGACGTAGAAAAGCCTTAAATAAGCCATATATCTCAAAAAACCAAAAAATAAGCGTGTTTTGGGCAAAAGCATGATATTTGCTTAATATTACCACCAAATAAGGCTCTTTTAAGACCTTTACTAGTATTAGGATTACCAAATAAATAAGCATTACGGAAATTCGTCAGGTTTAGCTGGGTCAGGGTTGGGCACTTAGCAAATATTAAACCGTGTTCTTACTCACCCATTAATTAAGTCCTGAGAATTCTTGGTAGCAACGACCTCACAAGATTTCTCAGGACTTAATTAACGCGCGAGTACATCTGTTCTTTAATACGCATGTACCCTCGGCCCCTCTACCTCTCTATCACCTCCGTCCCCTCTACTCTCCTAGCACAACCCCCCCCCCCCCCCCCCCCATCTCCTAATCATCAAAAACAGGCTAATCAGCGAATCTAGCAGCAGCAGCAGCACCGAACCAAGCACTGAATCCAGCACCAAATCGAGCACCAAATAGAGCACCAAATCAAGCACCTAATCGAGCAGCTAATCAAGCACCTAGTCGAGCACCTAATCGAGCACCTAATTGAGCGAACTAGGTCAATAGGTAGGTATGTAGGTAGGGAGGTAGGGAGGTGTGTAGGCGGGGAGATAAATAGATTGTCTTAAATCAATGTACATATTAAATGCAGTATTAATAAAAACTTCATTTCCGAAATTCACTATGGCGAATAAGTGTAAAAGTATACCTATCAGGCTATCATGCTGATCTCACGAATAAACATTATTCAGCCTTATTTTTCAAAAATACCTTAAATAAGACTGGTCAAAATCAATAAGCATTAAAATATTTTAATATTAGCAAAACCATAGTCTAACAAGGACTTTAAAAAGAAATAAGAGTTAATAGTCAAAAAAGGCAAATATCATGCTTATTTAAGCCTAAAATAAGACTTAAAAAATACCCATCCGGGCGTTAAAGTATTATAAAGGCTCTTGAATCTTATTTCTTCATTAAGAAATTGATCAATTGACCTCTCCACCGCCCCTCAAAGTAACGTTTCGGGATCGCAATCTATCTACCAGCTACATGTAGCTATATGTATATACATTTTAACCATGTATCCCCGTAAGATACATTCATTTTCTCTCCTCCTCCCTACTACCCTAGGCCGGGTCTTCCTCCAACGTCTGCAGGATATTATCACCAACTACATGTACATAAGCTTCCCCGCTTTCACTCACACGTGCACCGGTAACGGGGATGTTGGATGCCAAAATGTCCCTAGTTATGCGCCCGTCGATAAATTTACGTGGAATGCCGAACCACATATCGCATACATATACCTTTACTGTGACGAAGCGTGTAGTGAGATCGTGACAGCTGGCAGTCTTGGGACACATTTATGAACGGCGAGGTGGTAAGGATGCAGTACATGGTCTATAGGTAGAACTAATATATAATCTTCTGCACCAGTACTACGGGCATACATCCTACTGCGCACAAAGATTCTGTAAAGGGGATGAAGACAGCGGGTTTAAACGATTTGGGGAATAGTTCCACTTTTAAATTTTTCCCCTATTCTCGGCATTTTTAACTGAGTTTCATGGAGGAAAGATATTGTAATCGATCCTTCATTGTCTGTTTCTTTTTTTTTTCAGCGTGCTCCACGAGGACGAGCGCTCGAGCGTCCGTGCCCTTGCCTATGACACGCAAGGACAGTGGTCCAAAAAGACAAGGAACCTCGATCGAGGACATTATCAATCCTTAGCCGAGGACCTCCACGGACAATTCTTGGTTATAATACACACTTAATATAGCCTAATCAGATGAGGCCACGAATAACGTATATGGTACCCGTACCCGCGGGCTTAAAGGTAACGAAATTTCAATCGCTTATAACTTCACCACCACAAAAGATCAAAAATCTGTCAAGACAAAAGCTAGAAACAATGATGAAGAAGAGATAATCTTGACAGAGTTTTGATATCCTTTATGGTGAAGTTATAAGAGATTGAAATTGGCTGTTTTTGTATGTAAAAAGCGCCAAGAGTGAACGGAGTGAACCGTATTATACCCATTTATACCCAAAAAAGCAAACCTACCTGAGCCGTGGTAGTGAGGCACCAAGCTGGCTAGAAATGGGCCCTCTTATTGGCCGTTGGAGCCATATTGCAGCCACGATTGTTCCACTTCCATATGCCGCCGTGTGGCCTTTAAGACTGGGCGCACCATACCTTTTATTTTGAGAATTATCACTTTGTTGGTTTACCGGGTCATACGTCATTTCTTTATCGTCTTCGAGGTATGTACCTTGAGGCACCTCGAGGACAACAGTGCCGGACCTTGAGGACAGAGAAGGACAGACAAGGACAGAAGTCAGCAAGGATATGGCACCCCTAAACCTCGCCTCGAGCATCCTCGTGGGTCACACTTTAACTTTTTTTACTACTTTTTTTCTGTGTATCGCCGATTCAACGAAAAGAGCTGTGTTATGTCTATATTGCTGCTTTTGAAGGGTAAGATCTGACCGAGTGATAATCCATGACCGCATGTATGCTTACATGTATGTTGGTTTCATATTTCTTATATACATATATACAGATACAAGTGGTTTCCGGCCTTCGCCCGGTACTATATGGATGTCAATCAGTCCAATACCGCAAAATCTCGAGTTATTCGGGGGGTTGCCAAGGCCACCTGCTAAACTAGATTTAGTTTAGATCCTGTAAAAGAGGGCTGTTTTCTTGAAGATCGCTTCCTCTAAAGGTGAAGATCCTCAGCTTTTTGCCTTGGCAACCCCCCGAATAACTCGAGATTTAGCGGTATACAGGCAAGCCGCTTTGCGGCCTATCTTCTCTATTTGCCGGTCAGTCGGGGCTCTCAGGCCGCTGCGCGGCCCTCGACCCCCCTGGCAGGCAAAGCCCATCACTATATCTGCTCTGGTCGATATGTGCCTTTTCTGATATCCCCCATATATCAGTGGATAGGTCAGATAATTTCTCCAGTTCAAGCTGCAGGTATATCCCTTTAATACCCACCAAGCCGCTAAAATCGAACTACTAATCGATTCCCAGAACCAGTAGAAAACCTACGAACAATCTAACAACACTCAGCACAATACCCTATGTTCATATCCAACATAACATGTTTCAAGTGAAACAAATTATATATGTATATATGTATATATATATGTATACGAAAGCGCGAGTTTATTCTCATCCAGACTAATCTCCTCCCACCCGTCCAATTATTAAGGAGATCAACAAGACTATGGTACTATAGTCAAAAACGAACCAAAATCTTACCATCCTCGTAGGTTGGGTTCTCCCCAAAATATCTCCCAGTATAATTGCTACCCAAGGTTAATCACATCTTCAACTCAAAAGAAATTTCAAGGCAAACGCGGCTTACCTCCACTTCATAAGACCAGCACAGATATCCTTGCATCCCAATACGAACTTGCGGACCTCTTCATCCGATGTGTCGTTCCCAGACGGTAGAGGTAGATCTCGCTCAGCACTCTCAAAGTCTGCGTGTGCTTGTCGAAGCAGTACCGCTGCATGATCCATTGCTTCCTGTGGACCCATACCCTCGTGATACGCCAGGACACTTACAATATTATCGACGTGTCCTGCGCGCTTGTGATGCAAGATAGATAATTAGACTACTATATTAGTAGAGTTGTCCTAGATAAGAAACCTACAAGTTCCCGGGCAAGTGAAACCATGTCATTTGAGCTACGGTGGAGGAATCTCATTAGAATCTAGTCACGCAATATGATCCAGGCTGGACAGAATGTTCATCAGGAGGGTAACTCACATCATAACTATGTCTCTTGTTCTTTCCAAAATCTGCTGAAAGGCGCGGTGGCCTACCATTGTCGGTGGGATGTCCAGGCCATAGCAGTATCTGCAGCACTCAAGTCATGGACTAACCTAGACAGCAAGGTGTAGGCGGAATTTACTCTATAAGGTCGATAGTTGGTGATACACCTACGCATTCTCGCCTCATGACATAGTACTCCGATAATGTAGGCACGTTATCATCCTGTCTTCCATACCAGCTGGTAACGTTATGGACAAATTCCTTCAGACCACGCAGCAGGCGCTCACGAGGTTCTATGTCGTGGTTATATCAGCGCTCGGATTAAAAGACGGTCTGGGCATACGGCAGTACCTTTACACATCTTATTCTTGACACGACCTGCAAACCAGGAGAAGGAAGAGTTAAGGGGAGAGACAACGGACGGTTTAGCCCCCGGTGGGTCGGCAAGTAGATATTCAAAATTGAGAGTTGTCTCTTCCCGGATTTGCATGCTGTCAACACCTTCAAATTGGGTATCAAAGACGTCGTCCCATGCCCACACCTACTACCTATTAGCCTTAGAAGCTCCGAATTAAACGTGTCTGACGAGGAATTAACGGAGGAACGACATACCCAGGCGTAAAAACAGGCAATAGTAGCAAGGGCTTCCTCATCGCCGTCTGGATACAAGAACTGTGCGACAAGTCCGAATTTTGCTGCGGCGGTCTTTTTAAGAAAGACTTCGTCTTGGCTTATGCTGTAGGGGCTGTTACTGGTCATGTAGACACAATATGGAGTTTTCAGGCAGTAGGGGCGCGCGACGAACCTTTTTGCCCACGAATTGATAGCTTCCTTTACATAGGGGCTACAGTCCTCTCTCTCAGTCACTCGCCAGCCTGGCAGGGTACTGGGGATGTCTGGGAGTAGAATCTTGGTCCCTTTGAACATTGCTTGAACCTCTGACTTTGGCGTGACGGCGGACATTGCGGTGATCTTGGGTAAGAGAGTCGACTTTCTAACGAGTACGCGTTTTCTTTGTTGGTTATATATAGACTTGCAGCCTTAAACACTGTGATGGGTGGTAAGTTACTTGTATCTACTCGAAATCAGATAGAGGGGACGTGGGGTGGGGATATATGTATTGTATTACAAATGTAAATGCTAGCTAGCCAGTCGGCGAGGTTGGGGGTTATCCACCGTCTACGGGTGTGGGGGGTGTAGATAGAGCTAGAGGCCATGCTGAATTGCTGGGTAAGCCCGGAACGATCATGTCAGTAACCAGGGTTCCCGGACGGTTGATGCATGCATTCCAGGTATGCAGGTATGTATGTACATGCATGCAGCTATACCTACATGTAGAGTACACGTACTTTAGATGATCGAATCCAACGCCGACAGACCTGAACATATATATATGTGTTCTGAAGACAACCTTATACATACCAACTTGAACCAATAGACGGGCCAAACTTGTCCTTCAATACAGCGGACCTATAACTAGGTACATGTATGAAGTACATGTACTTAAGCTATCGCTACCAGCCAAGCAAATCACCACCATGCATACATGCACAAAATACATGTACCAACGCGTACGTCTAGCTCTCATACTTTAGACTTGACATCCCTTCACATACACATTAACGTCTGCAACAAGGCCCATACATTATACGTATGACTTGCACCCTAGGGTTACGGGTCCGCCTTCTTTAACATCCCTATCTTCCCACACGCTGTCTACCAATTGCAAAACACTCGATACGTATGTATATACGTACCGTATATCACTGTCCACCGGCGACATGTGGATCCTTTTACACTCTAGACCGGTCAAAAGTACCTACATAGGTCGGGAAGATTTTCGACGTCGCAGGTGTGGCTGCGTAACGGACATCTCTCTGGAATCCATGGCCCTAGAAATATGAAAGGCTAATTCACAGACTAGGGGGCTGGACCTATCATCTCAGCGGATTTGGCAGTGGCCCGGCCTGATCCAGTCATAAGTGATCCTAGTGTGCATTGAGTTTTGGAGCATGTACTTAGGGCTGTCGCTTAAGATTTGAGCTACGTAGTGATTAGAAAGATAGAGGTAAGAGTGAAGGTGGAATTTTGATTCCGCCACCCTTTGCACCTTCTGAGAACTTGACGTGATCCTATTCATTCTATAAGACCTTACTAGTATATTCGGTTTGACCGATCAAAAACGAGCTAATAACATATCACCGCCAACGGGTTGAAAGGCCTGAATAACCGACAGGCAGGTTTGGGAGTAGACTTACTACAAATCGGTGGGAGGGGCCGATCGATTGGCCACTTACACACCAGCTTGAAATCAGTATTCGAGGCCTTTTGAAGCGCAAGAGGAGAGTGAATATGAATCAAGTATCAATCTTACATAAAGTTCGAAGATTTCAATTAAAATTTCAAATTTGACATCTAGATTCGCATCGCGCCTACCATGGGTGTAGGGGCATACTTATCAAGTTATATTGTGGCTAATTTCTGACGTTGCAGGCTGTTTTCTATAGTTCCCTAGAGTCTCATCCAGATCGATCACAATTCTGAACCGATATGAACAAGAGACAAACTGATAGTATTATGAGGGATGATGGTCTAGTCTAAGTATCCCACGATGGACTAAGTTCCGCTCTCTGCTAGGTACGTTTCCTTTTCGTCCCTGATTACGTCGCCTCTTGTCCTACTATGTGGCTTTGCCACAGCCATGCGCCACAACGTGTTTGGTTCTCAGTCCTGTCTGTGTAAAGGCCCGCTCGACAACAGACCAAAATGGGGTTTACACTGTTCAAACCCTCCATCTGAAGGACCCTTTCTTCTTTTTCGGCGCTTGGAAACTCTATTTGTATCATTGCTAAACGGCCCTAGTTTTCGAACTGAGGCTTGGCACCGAGTGATAGTCTGTGTACACCGGCAACGCACTTCTTCGCGATCGATCGTGAGCATGATTTGTTAGTCCACTAGTTGGGAGAGCGAAGGAACTCCGAAGGGGGGGGGGGGGGGGGGGGGCAGGGGAGAATACGGGGGGGCAACCGGATTGGGGGCGTTTTCAAGCCAAGCCTGCCATGCATATAGCGAATATTAATATTCCTAATTCGTGGAGCCTGTGCTTCTCAATTGCAAGATGTTGGGTATTCTTTAATTCCAAGTTTGTTTCTCATCCCCTTCTTGCTCGCTTGGCGCTTAATATAGCGTGTGCGTCTCATCCGATGAAGGGCAAATGATTCACTTCGGGTGACAAACATTGATTGTTGTACACATTAATACATGTTGCATTATCATCATTAGTCCTCTTTCTATTAATACTGGGAGAGAAGGCTTACTAAAGCCTTCGAGATTAATAGCTTCACGGATACTACCTCTCTTGGATAGTAATTTCGGTGGTAAAAACACTCTCTTGTGTTTAATCTGCATATGGATGTGCCATTCCTTCCGCTATAAATGTATAATCTAGCCACTCATTAATCTACACATTTTTCCGACTTTAACATCTTACTCCATGGTAGACTGTCTTTTTTAAGAATATTTCTAAAATACATATTAATCTGCAATCGCTTAAGAACATAAATTATAATGTAAGAAAAACAACTTCGCCATCGGCATAAAAATAATGATTAAGTACGTTGACTTCACGAATAACCAACCCATCTGTCTTAGAGAACCCCACTATAACTGACGCTGAATCATGGGATCATTCAAATCTATAATTGGAATATCAAGGGGTAGGCACCTTGCACCTTTACCATCCGGATTCAAACACTCCACGATCTTCGTCGACGACGCAAAACACTCGCACCACTCTAGCAGGTCATTCCACTGACTCAGCAACAGCGACAACACCCTATTAACCCTGTTCGTCTTGCCATACCAATGATTACCCTTCTCAGTTATCGGATGTCTTTTGAAAAGCTCGCCTCCCGGGTGCCCCTCTCTCCAGAAATGCGTCACATTGATATAGACATCCACGACTTCAGCAGGGGCGGTGAATTTATACCACTTCACAAACAGCGCCCAATACGCCTCCTGGTCACTCCGGGCATCGCTAATGCGTTTTGGATCATGGTTCAGGTCCGTATGATCCTGCACTAGCTTTCTCACCGCACTGGCCAGATCGTCGAGCGCTTTACGGACACACAGGATATCGGGATCGATTTTGGTATCCCAGACAGTGCTACCGCCGTGGAGCCAATCCCAGGGCACAGCAATGTCGCCGCCAGGGGCGTGGGGGGTGGCTTTGGTTATGCGGAAAGGGCGGTAATGGTGGAATGGAGGGGCGTCGCTGTTGACCGGGATGGGGTTGTTGGAGTAGTAGGAGCGGACGGTGGCGCAGTCGCCGGAGGGGGTTCTGGAGTCGTGGGTGCGTGGCATCGTCTGGAGGTAAGACTGAATGGGGTATGGAGCTTGAATGAGGTTTTGAGGAGTAGATGTGGTACTTTAGTAGGCGGTGACGTGGGGAGTTAAATAAATCCATGGAAAGTCGTTCTACGATCGAGTCAGTTGTCTTTTTCTCATAGAATGCCCATACGTCCTCTTAACGTTTAGTTCAATGTATTTGTCTATATGTATGGGTATGTTTGAGTTGCTAATTCCTGAATCTAGTAACGAAACTCTCTGTGAAATAGAAAACCATCCTACTTATGATCATCAAAGGTCAAGTTCATTTATACAATTATACAACGTGTGTTGACAAAATCTCATAGAAATCCACCTCCCCTAACAACGGCGACTAAACATTGATTTGAGAAATAGGGTGGTCACGACAGATATCTTAAATAAGGGACTGGCTCTAGGCGCTGTAGCGTGTTGAGAAACGAAGAATGTCTGTTTCATGAGGTAATTGGGACCCAGATTACAGCGGGGCTACACCCCGAAGCGAGTCTGTACGGGATATCCACCTCAAATCAACTTGGCCGATTGGATGGTGCCTGTCACGTCATGATTACAGGTAGATATCGAGGTAATGGCTTACTAGAACAGAAATTTGCTGATTAGATTATCTGTGACTGAGATCTAAGACCCTGCTCAATTGCTGAATTGCACCTCCGGCTGGAGTTTCGCCTGATACTTGTTTGGGAGTATGAAGCGACGAAGAGGCTCATTCTATGGATATATCAGTGTTGCGATGCTGCTCGCTTGAGTTACCGTAAATGATCTCATGACCCATGTTCCCTCTTAAGATCTGGTTTAACCTTGAGCGGTTCCTGGATCTGTGTGTTTGGTCGGGAAGAGCGGAATGGTATATACGCCAGCGATGCTTTGCAAGGCAGCCAGTGAAACACCATCTATAGACGGCTGCGAGATACTTGTGGATCCAGTCAAGATGGCCGATAAGGGCTCTTATCAACGTCATCTGCTTGGCTGGCGTTCTTTCGTCTCACGGGAATACTGTCTCTGGATATATCCATGTAATCCACAAGGGTATCGCAAAATTGCAAAGACTTGAATTACTGATAGAGCCATAAGAACCTGTGCGATACGGTGTGTACGGGTGTCCACAGAGCCGTTGGGGCGTGTCAGGTGTGTGGCCTCGTGTATCGAAACCCCCGCCGGGTTTGCACTGCAATATAAATCTAGTCAGAGGGTATTTGCTTCCGTGAGAACCATGCATGAAATAGAACATGCCAATACTGTCACTACGCTGAAAAGTAGACCTATAGCTATCAGTGACCAGCAGCGTTCCATAATATATCATAAAGACTTTACCTATACCCCAGCTTTGACCCATGATTTAGCTTGTCTAGCGATGCAATAAATCGACTTATTGCATGCTCGGACATCCATCTTAACTTGTTTCCTGGTGCTGGATATATATGGTCAGTAGATTCACTAGTGTACATACAAGCAACCCTTCGCCGCTCAAACCTACATTTAGCCCCCCGGGAACGGTACAATTTCCTCATACGGTGATGAACAAAGATCTCGCAGTCGTGAATGACGTTGGAAGTACATGTAGACAGGTATGGTCTTTCTTCAGTCTATATTCGCCAGGATGCATGGTGTACGTCGAAACTAACTACATGTAAGCTTTGCATATGCGGTGTGAAGGAGTGACGACTGAAACTCTAAGTTGTTTAGGAGAGGACAGATTGTTCTCTGGTGTTACTGGGCGGGGGTGGATGGTTACCGGGGAGCGAGGGCGGTGTTTACTGCCTCACTCACTTGATCAAGCCCGGGGTGTTTCTTGACCATGCATATCTTGTCGCACATCAGCGGGCAGGATGTCCCTGGACTTCACTCCGTACTCTTCCCTGCCTAAGGTATTTCCACAGAGCGTGAGTATGCAGTTAACAAAGCCGATAACGAGACGGGGCAACACTGAGAATCGTATTTCCCTTCCTTGATCAGTAATAAACTGGGAGGATCTTCTTACAACCGGTACCGCTAACGTTATAGCACTACCAATTCGGCTCCCACCGTTATCTTTCTGCCCGAGAATTACTTCCTTAGTCCACTTTTCTGCTTCAAGTCGGGATCCGATAGTTTGCGGGGTGTGTTTTAATAACAGTTCGCAGTATAGTCTGCGAGGGGAAAGCGTATCGTACCTCGCCTTAAAACAGATGCCTCGAGGTGGCACAAGGTATATACACATACCCTTCAACAAGGCCAATGCAGTTCAATATATGGCACTCTCCTCAATTCAGATTGACTCGAGTCAACTCAATATATACTTGCTCTTCAGGCTGCCAAAACAGAGATACTCACAAGACCTATTGAGAACACACTGACAAGACCTGCCTTCAGGAGCACCGAGACAGCCCAAGGCAGATCTTCTCAAAGACAGTGTCAACTCGATACACCTCATTTTCCTTGCCTCGATGCGCCTTATGGAGCGTACTGGACGGCTCGGGAAGCCATAGTGGTCCAGAGGCCGGCCTCTATCAGCGAACCAAATCTTGAAAACTACACACAGGTAATTTAAATATACTCTCCGTGATTGGCGCGGTGCAGCTTGGCCATCAATAGGGGTGAGCAATCCGTCTCACAAGGATCATTAGGGTCACGAGTGATCACTCGAATCACAGGCGTATCAGTCACTCGGACTGCTGCAATATTGCCGGGGGTGGCGTAAGGAGGAACGACACCAAACAGCTGTCTTTTATCCCTTGGGCGCGTGAGACATTTGCAAAATCTCTCTCATGCATAAATATCATGTGATCTCGAAATTTGGGTGGGAAACGTCAGGGTAAGCTGTTTGCTGCGTTTTCCAGTACTTGTAGTATGCCTATATCTATATGCCAAAAGCTTCGCAGGTCGCTGCCTTATTTCAGCCAATCACTTCCTGAATAGATCACTCTAATGCATGAGAGAGATTTCGCAAGGTGTCTCACACGCCCAAGGGATACTCTTTTTGCGGAGCGAATGCCAAGCACGTATGTAGCTATAGTTTTGGCATAAATATGGGTGCTGTTTGTTACTCTCCGCCGTGAAAGGAAGGATAATGATAGTTTCCAGTACACAGATACCAACATGAGTTATTATCAACATTGACTATCCTAAGGCTCACAAAGATTTTTTCATACTGACCTGGTTGTCCCTTGATATGAACCGAAGCCAGTTCCGGCCCGAGCCGTCTGAGATTACACTGACCTGATTCCACGGCGTCACTCGAGCCACAATAAGAGATTCCCGGGCAAGCCTCGAAACCATCACAGGATTTATCCCAATATGTTCCGGGCGACTCACAAATACCCTGGGTTCGCCGGTGGGCTGTTTGCTCCGTGCATCGGGGGCCGGACCGGTCCGTTGGCGGATGGACTGGATAAAGGGTAATGGAATTGGGTCTTTAAATTAACTCGAGAATAATCTAGACTCTACTAGAGCTCATAGGGCCCTAGTAAGTGGTTGTAGAGGTCACTGAAGCTGATAGAGACCACAGGATATCACATATCAGGCGTTAATTGTTAATATTGAGGTCTTAAGCTCGCTAAAGATCATGAAGATGCTAATTCTTTTTTTAGGTTTGGTCTTGAGGGTTGATGGTTTTTTAGAGGTTTCTGATGGTTATAGAGATAATTAAGGATTGATATAAATCATTATTAGTTGTGAGGATGAGCTATTTGTCCTACTAAAACCACAACCTTCCCAGGCCATTCGCGAATAGACTGGTCCAGCCACAGATGTATGAGCCTAGAAGTCCATTCGCGAATACCTCAAGTCCATTCGTGAATTTGTCAAGTCCATTCGCGAATCCATCATATCCGCCAACGGCCCGGAACAAATACACAGCCGAAAAGAAGAGAATGCACAATTACTCAAGACTTCGGGTATGATAGAAAGTGAATGGATAGGTCGGCTCGTATTTATAAGAAAGGGTGTATATGGCGTATATAAGGTAAGCTAAATGACGAGAAAATAATGGTTTGAATTCGAGCGTTATGGTATTAGAGAGCGCAAGAGCATTCAAAAGATATACGTCAAGTACGTCGGAACACTAATCAGAATCATCAAAGCTTCAGGCATCTCTAGGCTAGGTGGTACCTATCCCTCTACCCGCCACTAAACTTAAACCTCTACAATCTATATCATCGAGGTAAATCATAGGATATCACTCGGATACCGAGTGAGATACCATGACTAACAGGCGAAACCTTGATGGTCGAATTATAATGTAGGGTATCCTGTCATTACAAAGAGCAGGAATGAGAAAGAATACAACATGGAAGATCCCAGTCTCTGATACTATGCTCCAAAAGTTTTGGGGGCAGATATCACCGCACTTTGGTGAATCACATAGTAGTAAGGAATCCGAGCAGTTAATTTTCTGATACGACTCGCCATATTACCATACTATATGGGTTTTATAAGGCTGATCAGATTTTAGGCTATCAGACGTATTAGTGCCTAAAGAAAAACTATTACCAGATAGCAAAGTTACTTATAAGTATAGTACTAGGACAGAAGTTTTGGTAATATACCCTTTTTACAGCCAAAGTAGCCATGTTTCGCTACCCGAAACAACCACCCAATCTCATCAAAAAAAATTCCAACTTTTCAAGGATAGTTGGAAATTATCTCAAGACGGAGTTCGGGGAATTCTAGAATTTTGAGTCTACTCTTCAGGCATGTGCAATCTCATTTTTAAAGTCATGATTTGAGTGTTTCTGATTTTGTATGGTGTTCCCATACAAACTTTGTGTTGCAACGGCAACCAAAAGTTACCAAAACTTCTGTATGTACATATCGGGGGAGATTTCACCTTCAGGCTAAAATACATATAGGTGATCTAGAAAAACCTAGTTAGCCATCAGTGAATGGCTATCTAGAGGGATCTACCACGAGTTTCACCTATACAATGTGTAATATGTACTTAAGTCATGGCCGACTATGCAAATGTACATATGGTCTCATTCAAATCACTCCGGACGTACCGAGATTACCACTCGGAGTACATGTAGCTTCCAAGCTTCATTTCACTTATGGTCTATAATTACCACCATCCCGAGTCCATCAGCTCCCTGAGCTTCTCTTCTGATTCTCGGTGTCATCATTCTCATTCGGTAGCTATATAACTCCATGGCACGGTGAGCGCACCGGCTGCAGTGTTAGGGTTTCTGAAACCATTTCCCCGAATCTTATGCAGCGACCTGATTTTACCATTATAAACCGATCATCAACAACTTACAATTCTCGGGGCTTTCTAATACGCTCGGTCCCGTGAGCTTGTAGGAAACATCGGGAAATCGAGCGCAACGCTTGGTCCGGCTTGGCTCCATGATCCAGTGTGGCCATGGAGTCATTACTTCCTAGTGAATTAAGTCCAATAAGGGGTATACCGCCAAAACTCGAAAATTTGGCTATCTCCGTCCAGGGATTACCATTTGAGTGATTGGTTGAATGATATCGATCTGCATGAGAAGTTTCCCATAGAAGTAATTTTGATCTAGCCAATTTTTCGAGTTATGGCGGTATCCTGCGACAGAGGTAGTATACGGTTAAGTAGTGCAGGCGGAAGATCTAGATGGGTGGCTAGTTCTCCTCACACCGCAACAAGCTAGGAATACTGGCCCTTGGCATTCAAAAGTGTGGCTGGTTTTTCCCCCAATCATTGCATGCAGTCAGTATTAAACATAAATAAATTTACTGAAATATAAATGGCCTCTCCCTAGCCCTGCAGTGGGAAAGGTTTGCCCTCTCATGGAAGGAATAACTGCCTGTTGAGTATATACAGGACCAGAGCAGGTTTTGCAGCGTCCGGAAACGAGATTTTCGACTGTGGGAGTATATGAAGTCACGGAAATAGCCCTATATGCCTAGGTAGATATAGCTAGGTAATATTTCTAGATGTCGCATCAGATAAGTATACCAACTTAAGCGTATCGATATATCTGGAGCGGAGATATCAGCTTGAGCATTCCATAATATTCAGAAAGGGCCAGTCGGTGCACAAATCTACCTAGTTACCAGGAGTTCTCGGCAGGTAGTCGGGTGCGAAGGAGCAAGAAAAGAGGAAAGATTTCATTCATTATTCTCTGTTTGCTTGTGCATAGGGTAATTATAGACGGCTATAACCGCGCTGAATATCCAGGCATGCAATGGTCCACTTCTCTTGTCCAAGTGAAAATTAAATGGATGTTCTGCTCTACTCTAGACGAGTAAAGCACACTTACCCATGCGCGGAAGCGAATGCGGGTCCTGTCCGATGTCTGTCAAAAGCTTAAGGCCAATACTCCATGTGAAGTAAATATGCATAGAGTAGCTATAGTGCTAGAGTTAACATTAGAATGCTAAGGCTAGATTACCCAGACACGGCCCTCAGACCACATCCCAGGTGAGCATGAGGGAGTGTAATCTACAGTAGAGTTATCACAGAGTTCGTCCTCTAGTGAGCTACTCGGGTGTAGCAGTATACGTAAGAACCAGAACATGCAAGTGAAGAGACAGGGATTATTTGTATGGAGTGGCGCCGCTCTGCCATACAAATAACCTCATTGCATGTTCTGGTTCTAACCCTCGTACCCGAGTATATAGAGTGTCTAAGTACTCAAATGATATATGCGCATGCGGACCTGTGTCACATTGCCATACCCAGCGACACGGTTGGTTCCGTTGGTCCTCAAGCTTGGTACTGCAGGGCTGTCAAAGTGGTCGCTGCAGCCATAGGGCAACCATAGAGTAGTAGAGTACATGTAGAATGCTTATATAGATACATCTCTGGTGAGGCGTGGGGGAGAGAAACGTAATACCAATTAACCCAACTAGTATGAAGTACATGTAGTGAGCAACGCTTGAACAATATTCTGAGCCTCTGTTCCATTTGGAAATATAATTGGATTCGTGATGGGACGAGAGAATTGAGATCACCTCCAACGCTACATGTGTTTTCGTGACGGATGAAGCAATCTATAAAGATATCTCTTCTACGTTGAGTAGCAGCTATGTAATTGTCCTTCAAGTATCAATGAACATCTGCTCTACTGCTCAGGTCTAACGGGCCAGAGTTGGTGCAACGCAAACGTATGTAGTCTCACACAACAGGAGGACACTTCAAAATGGGAAAGCGGGCCGATACAGTCAGCCCTACGGGGCTGAGACACGCGCACGGTGACTTTCATGACTGCGGGGTGCGAAAGGTATGTGCTGTCGTTCAAGGGGTATTGACGGACACTGGTACTGTTATGTGGACTTATCCTTGGTAAAACGGGGTAAAGTTCGTAGTAACACGTGACTTTGCTTTCGACATTGGGGGGTTGCAAGCGCCTTTAGGTTTTTGGTCGCTCCTGCGGGTGATTCTGGAGCGTCTGGTTTCACCGCCGCCGCCGTGGCGGTGCTGAGGGGTACTGTGCCCGTGTATGGGGTGCCGTTTGTTGGGGCTGTTGGAGGTGGCGCTGGAGTAGGAGGAGGAAGATAGCGCAATTTCGAAGATGCAAAAGGTTGCGAGAACGTATGGTATGGTATTTATGGGTCTTATGGTACGTGGATAAAACATATTGGTAAGAATATAGTGAGGATGTGAGAAGAATAAAAAGAAGGAAATGGAAAGATTGAGTTGACAATTGCAATGAGCGGCAGTACTAGGCGTTGGAGCAGCAACACGAAGTGAAGATGTTTGAATGAAGAATTGGTTGTGGGATAAGAAGAGTATTGATAAGTACCCTGAGACAGCAATGACTCTTTATGATGGGATTTGGAGTAAATCTGAATTCATGAAACAGATAGTGCTCCTCGTGCTGCCATTCACGACAATGTTTGGGTGGTAGGCCTAGGCTAAATCGAGTTATAAGATTCGAATCTAGGAAGTTGACAAACATAGACCGTACAGCGTGTAACAGGCCCTAGCCTAGGACTTGACCTGCCCTTGATGAGCCTTCATACAGGAAATAAGTAGGTCTAGCGGGATTGAGGGGTATTCACAAATACTATGAAGCTTGCCGAGATTTCATTTGTTGTTACCAAGAGAACTTGACCCATATTCTCGTGTACAAAAAATAGAATGGCAGAAACCCTTCAGAAATGTGGCACTATCATATATCGGCTGAAAGTCGAATACCCTAACCCAACTTCACCCGGAGCTCTCACCGTTGGATAGGGCCGACCTTGGTTGGTTGGAAGGACAATTATACGCCAGATCGTACCAATGAAGGAAACGTAGACCCACAATTCCAGAATAGGCTCGAAGTCCAAATATTTGTCTCACCCTTTATATAAGACATGTGCCAAGACAATTGTGTCGTGGTTTCTATTGCCACAGACGTACCTCTATCAGGATACAGAAACAACTGTCATATTAGACCTGCATCCCGCGACGCAGCAAGACCTCAGCCTCCATGTCGCACTTTGGACGCTAAAACGGTGAACCTCAAAGCTCGATACGGAGCATCTTTCCCTCAAGTATGGTGTAGTTCATCGTCCAATATATCATGGTACGAATGCGTTTCAATGGTAGTCGGGCCCGGGCCTTAAGAAGGCCTTATTAACGAGTGAGTATATGACCGATATATAGGGTAACCCGGAATTCCCATTCGCTGAAGTTTCATGTACAGCGTTTCTCTCTATTGCTTCGAAAGTGGAGGACTTCCCGTAGGCGATAGAAGCTGTTCTATCGCTATTTAGGTTCTATTCGAGGTTGCAACGGATAGAACATGGGGTTTCTATCACAGCCAGTTGTCTATCGTTAGGACCCCCCCTCGAGGGGGTGGGTTCTATCTGGTTTGCTCCTTCTATATGATTTCTATTGCTCGTTACAACGAATCCAATCCCTGCACAACTGGACTAGTGATCGAATAGAACAGAGAGATCTTTGTTTATCCACGGGAAACCACTTTTGTTTTTGGTTGTTTCTATCCTATCGAATAGAAGAAAAATAGGAATAGAACAGCTTCTATAGCCTACGGGAAGTCCTCCAGTGATATGTATTGCGAGTGGCTAAAATTAGCCGGACACTGCGTTACAACCAAACTTAGTATGGGGATGCAACTTCAAAATCGCCTTGCAACACGACTACACCCGGAGAGGATAAGAGGTGTTATATCTGCGATCTCTATGCTTGTATTATCTCGGGTTTTAATACGGGCTCAGTCGCAGGTATTTGAAAACTTAGTTATTGTGGCTATTTGGTTTGGGTGGTTGTAGCAGAGGGTCCGGTTATAATTAATTTTGGCAACGCGCAATACTATCTGATTTGCGCACGTCGACACCTTGATGGGTAATGTGACCCACGCCCACATAGGGACGAATATATGATTGAATGAGGATAACTCCAACCATGAAGGATTCTGAAAGCCACCTCAATTCAGATATCACCTAAGTGTTGCCCTAGGCTGGTGAAGACGTACGAAAGGACATGTATCTGCCGCCACTGGGCTCCCAAGCGTTCAGAGAGCCCTTCAATGCACTCAACTGGCGGGGAGGTCACCAATGAACTAGTAATGTCATACGAATTTCTTTGACGGGGCTTGAAAACCCCTGTACGTGTTGGTACCGCTAATTCCTTCTTATAATTCCAACCATATAATAGGCAATATGTTCTAATTCGGCATTTACGTTGCGGACTCAGGATTTCATTATGCTGGCGTACTTTGGTAGAAAATGAGCTTGGCCGTGTGTACAAGTCGAGCTCATCTTTACTTCCGCACTCCAGCGACACTATAAAGAGGGGAGGGTCCCTTCTCCTCCGTACCTTTCTCTTCATCCGCACCTTTGTTCTTCATATACAAGTCTCCAATCCCCTCGACCGCCATCAATTCCAACATGCATGTCTCCGTTCTTCTTCTCCTTTCGCTCACAACAGTTGCCACCGCCCGCACCAGAGCCAGCTGGGCCTGGTCATCGCTCGGCTGCTTTGTCGATCGCGATGTTCCAAATCGTCTCCTCGGGTCTGTCATCATGACTGACGCTTACGAGCAAACTGTGGAGCGATGCTTGGCCAGATGCAGCGCGTACAACTATGCACTTGTCGAGAATGGCCGGTATGGTTTCCTCCACCCCCTTGTGTTCGCCTGGTTCTGCCCCCCTGATTCGTGGAAACAGAGAGTGCTTTTGCGGAAGTACTATCAACAACGGAACATCGGCCGCGATGAGTGAGTGTAATTTCAAGTGTCCTGGGGACAGTACAGAGGTTTGTGGTGGGGTGTGGAGGTATGTTTGCTTGTCCCAGTGAGGGTAGGAATGTAATTGGACTGACATGGACAATAGGGGGGAGATCTACGAGAAGGGCCCAAGTGCTTGGTGTGTGGGTGCTCCTGGGCCGATCTTTACAAGCGAGGAAAAGCATTTCCAAGTACAGGAATTGTGAGGATGACTCCATATAGGCGTCAGTTCGTCAAAGCAGTTGCGCAAGTTTCATAAATTAGGCCTGGTCGATTTTTACGCTCATAGTATGATTCTCAAAATATTACCCACTTGGGGAATTGTAATTACCTCCTCAGGCACTCATTCGGAACCTTTAGCCCTATAGCTAGTTTCCTAAATATCCTACCAATTTAGAGTTTGAAGAGTCGCACTGTATGTGTGTGAAACTGACCGAGCCTAATTTTATGAAACTTGCTGTATTGCTGTGGGGTTAAGAACAAGTATCAATAGGTACATGTAGATTTAGGGCAGCATATGTATATGGCAAAAAATATACAACGTACTCTCTTTACCAGATTGGCGTAATGAGACTACATCTTCTGGTTGGTTTATTTCAGAGTTCGTAGTATACAACTGTGGGTAGATCGTAGATACGGTAATTACCGCACGGTTCTCAGCCCCATAGGGCTGAAGGGCTTTGCCGCCTCTTGCGCCCCGAAGGTCACTGAACTTCGCTGATTCGCCTGATGGGGGGATATGTATGATGCCAGCGCCAGCGCCCGCCCCCGCCTAAAGCTATGGTCTCCTTGCGTCTAATATGCCCAATTCTGTCTTACCACTAGAGCCCCCACCGCTCCGTGGATCCGTCGCGAAATTCATGGTTCATTGATAAATACCAATAATGCATCCGTCGTCCGTTGATATTAGGAACGCAAATAATCAGAGTTATTTACGGAAAACCTTACATTTACCCAGGACTTTCCAGAGCTGTGAAACTCAACCCTCGACTCTCAATTTCCCTTAAGTGGCAATAGCTGTATAGGGCTGAGATAATGTACAACGGGAGTAACCGAGCTGAATATGCAGGCAACATATCTGTACTCCGCATGCTCATATGAACGCTTAAAAAGCAAGGAACATTAGTCTTCTGATGAGCAGAAGGTCACTTGTACCTACTCCAAGCGTAGCTTCAATGTGCTTATATGACGCCGATATATCATGCAGCGGATTTGTGACGCCGCTCCATACAACATTGAGCATTCAGTAATGCAACGCTCTCGAAGAGGCTCTTGCAGCCATAGGGCAGCTCTCCACTCTATACATTCTCTTGTGCAGCGACACGGGAAAGGTTAAAGTGGCAACTTCGCAATATGACCAGATTCAATGTGTTGGACCGCTCCTTTCTATCCCGTACGTGCTCTTATGGGATATTTGGTACTTTGCTGCACGATTGATTTTGGTATCCCGATATAAAAGACCGTTTTTAGTGTAAGTATCTAAAAAAGGGTTTGGAGAAGTATATTACAGAGAGGAAGGTCATAAATACATATAGGAACGTTGATCTGCAGCATCAGGCGTTGCGGAGGAGTGGAGCATCCAGATTCCAGGTAAGGCTGAACTATGCTTCCTCTGTCTAAAAATTCCCTACTCGGGGAAGGCATGAAGATCAGTTTTTGCGGTATCTGTTGCCGATTCGTGGCATTTTTGGTAAGCTATTGTAAGAGCTGTATCTGTACTCGAATATTCATGTTTTTCTTCCCTTCACAGAGTAGAAGGGTATACGATGGTATTCAAATTGTCAACCGAAGCATTTAAACTTACTGGACACAGTAAAGATTAGCTAGATTAGCATAGAACCTAGGTCCATCAAAGCAATACTCTATGCCGTTATGCAGACGGTAGGGGTCCAAATAGGACGGAACACGATGTTTCGTCCTCTAATAGTGATGGGTACGAGACGAATCGAGTCTTGGGGGGTCTTATCTTGCCCTTTATCCTTTGAGCAGAGTCTTGAAAATCTCGAGCTAATGGGCTAGTCTCGTTAAAGTCTCGAGACCTTCAGTCATATGACCTTTGTGCTAGGAAAGCTCTGCAATCATCCTAACCAATGTAAATATTGAAAATTCTAATTTTTTGGAAGGGGGCTGGACAATGAAATTAGGTTGTGAAAAAAACCTAAAAAGGCTTGAGACTTCCGGCCTGTTCTAGTCCCGTCTCGTCTTCTAATCGCCCAGGTTTCCTCCAGAGCGTTGACTGTAATAGATAATTGGCGGTTCATGAAAGGCGAAATGGTTCCATGCGGTAGCAGTATCGTAAATTACTACTAGTCCGGAATATTTGTGGTACTTATCGCAGGATAAGAGGTTTCGGCTCGGAGAAGCGTTTTTGCACCGCTCCCGCTTGTCTCACCGAACACATGTTTATATTATTAAGATTTGCTCACCAAGACCGCGCTCTTCCATAGTATACTTAGGCTCATGATCGCTTACTTTAAGCGTAATAGCCGAGGGGTAATTATGTAGTCCTTTCAAGTACTATACGTCGCGTGGGAGTAAATCTCGCATGAATCGTGATATCTCACTCGTGACCCGAGTGATAATCTGTGAAGGCGTGCTATTGTTGTTATTAACTTTCTAATAATAATAATGATGATGATGATCCCTCATGCTCCCATGCAACCGTATTAACCTTCTAATTACGGGGTGTGTTGGTTAGCGATTGGTTGAATTGTTTGGTATATTCAACTTCTCGACTATGGCAGAAGATACACTATTGGTTTACATCCTCGAATTACCTCTGCCTGATCTACTCCCCATTGATGGAGTTACATGCATCCCGCCACAATGATATGAAATCTTGACAGTACAATACACGCTCATTTAAGACGCTATCGTGTCACCTTCGTGGCTAATGGGACGGCAAGCGCTCTCTCAATCAAAAGTACTCACCTATTTCAACAAAACTAATAATTAAGACCAGGCGTCCTATAACCTCGCCTACAACGATTCTTATGACATTCCCGCTGCCTATGATGCATGCCAGAGCTCTTAGGTGCAGGTCGTGAGAGTCGTATATAGTGTGTGCCCTGTACCCGTGGATAGAATCTCTTAGCAGGTAGGTTTGGGTTATAATTCGTAACCTAGCACCCTTCTCCACGATAGCTTCGAACAGAACGATGCCCCAGACCACAAGCTATACCAGCGAGGCGTCACAATTGTCAGGACTCAACATGCAACTAATTAAGCCAAAGCCTTGCACATCAATCTTTCCCCTCGCACTGATGGCCCGCTCGTAACGGAATAACTCCATCTCGTTCTTTGTAAATTCCATCAGTCAATTTAGAGAACTCCATTGAAGCTATGAAACAGAGTATTTGAAAAAGTCTTTTCAGCCTTTCATTGTAATGCCCACACCCACCAAATATATTCTCACCTTGAAACCCACACCAGGGTTTCAACGGTCTATGCTGGCGTGAACATTCTCTGAGCAGACTTTGGTATCCCTTCGTCTGGCAATGCTGCCCACCCTATAATAAGGGGTCGAAATCTATAGCTTTACTAACACATCCCGTTATCTCTCAAAAATCTGCTTTTTTTTTGGGGGGGGGGGGGGGGGGTCAGTATTTTCGTCAGACGAAGGGATAGGGTTAGGATTAAACAGCATATTTGTGCTTGGGGAGCCTCCATTTTGGCCCTACAGCTAGATGGAGCCACGGACATTCCTTGAGCGTTGATGTGGTGAGTTCACATCAGAGGAAAGAAATAGCTCGCTGCCTATCTCTGGGTTGTAAAAATTCTGCCTTACCTCTCATCTCATCTTTAGGTCCTTTGTTCACATCTTGTGTCCCCCGCCACAACGAGTCACTACATGTATGTACTACGTGTGTAGGGGTAAGTCTATAGACAGGTGGCGGTGTATTGGGAGAGGATTTCTGAATATTTGCTTGTGTGTCACCGCAACCTCTACAGACTTACCCTCACAGGCGTAGTACTCTTATTCCTCAAAATATCAATCGTGCTGCTAGCGCTATGTATGCGTATCAGGATTTAACTGGCAGACAATGGAAAACATATCTTACATTACTACATTACTCTACCTCATTTAAGTCTGTCGTCCCTCAGTTCTCTGTCTCCATTCACCGTGCTAGTCCCCACTGAGTATACTGTCAATGCTCAAGCAAGCTTAATATGAACGCAGAATTAACTAGCTATATATGGAGTGCACGTGGTCGTACAGCGACTTATGACAGCTGTCAAGCAAGTAGGCTTGGAATTCCGGTACAGGGGTAGGCGGAGTGCAACCGGAGGGCCTATCTACTAGCTACAGTCTAGATGTCAAGTCGTAGGCGCTAGGCGGGTCGACTCTGCTGTCAGCTACGACTGCCCACGGCGATGACAATGTTGGTACTGTGGCGACAGGTGGCCAGATGGGTTGTATTTATGTATGATGGAATTATGTAGGTTCCACTGCCCTTTAAAAGTGTGGCACTGCTTCGACTGCTAATGCAGAGTAGGTACTGTGGATGGATAGGCGATCCGGGGTCGATCGGAGATCCACATGCCTTATAAATTTATTATGGGCTGTGTATCTTGAGCACAGCTAGATTGCCGACCACAGATGTTGAAACTTCCGGAGCAATCCAACGAGTGACGTAGAAATGTGACACAATGGACCAAACCAGTATAGATCGCTCCAGTTATATACATGTATATAGCTATAAAATATTATCAAGCTAAACAATGAATCATGAAGTATGACTCGTACTTTGGTCGATTCTAATACAGCTGACTAATCAGAGCGACCACTATTTTTAGCATATTTTATTTTCCTGGCGGAGTAAATTGTGATAGAAAAGGGTATGAAAATTGAATGTTCCATAACAGACCAACTCAATCAAGGTCGTGGACGCGTGCGATAGCCAAACAATTCAACTGTTTCATTTGTTGATAAGGTCCCGCCACTTGAAAGGGGTGGTGGCTTTGGAGTGGATCATATTTTAGGTTCTTTGTATCTTTTTTTTTTTTTTTTGTTTCATAGTTCCTATTGTTTCTGGGTACATGAATATCGCATAGAGCTTGAGCTATGGCGTGAACAAAACCCCTCCTATTCCCTACCCAGTGCCTTGTTGTAGTAACTATGGTCTGATACCAACCGCACATCTTCTTACAAAGCAGACGACAAGAAACTTCCCCTGACTTCCACAAAGCGAAAAATACAACAAAG